AAAAATTTTTCTCTTGTTTAGAGCGCGTGTGACGTACGATCAAGGAAGAAATGTCCAACGGTTTTACCCAATTGGTGGACCGTGGTTGTCCTTTTTCCTGGGTTTTTTTCTCACATATGGCTTTAGACACTGACTTGCTGTACGTGTGTGTTTTTGTTGCACTGGCATTTTGTGTGGGAGGGAGAATTCCCGGGTGTAAACTCTGTGTACTCTAGCCCAGTGCCTAATAGATAACAGCAGTGGTCGATACAGTATAACGTGCTAGCACAGTTCCTCCAAGACTAGTCGCAATTAAATGATTAGACAGTAGATAAGCATAGCCCGGTCCTCCAAACAGATCCATCACTTGCTCAACCGAACAGCTGCCCATGGGTTTTAGGCTAACTGGGAGCTTAGCATGCAAAACTAACCGAAAGGTGTGGTCACGACCGCGATGGCCTGCCTTCTTCTGCCTAGCAGCAGGACGGGCTAGGCAGAGGTTCCCCTGTTGGACACGCCGACTGCACAGGCCTACACAGGGGGGCAGGGGGCCCCAGGCAGAGGAAACCGTCCCACCGCCAGCCCGGAGAAACTGGCCGTGAGTCCGCCCCACACAATTTCGCCACACCACCGGGCAGAATGAACACGACCAACAGGGAGACAACAGCTGAAGACAGCAGGCTGAGGCCAACGAAACGGGTCCATTTCCCCAAACTTTGCATCCTCGAGCACAGTGTAATTTTTTTCACTTTATAACACTTGAATCCATATAAAGGGGGACATATTTCCCATTTTTAAGCCAGATCTTTTCCCCCTTGAGTTTAGTTTCAATTCGCCTTCTTACTCCCGATTTAATACTCTTGGTAGTTCGATAATACACTAGCCATGTCTCAAAAGAAGAAATCCTCCTCCACCGCAGTCAACCTCATTTCTGGTGGTACCGCTGGTCTCTTTGAGGCTCTCTGTTGTCACCCACTTGATACCATCAAGGTTCGTATGCAGTTGCACAGAAAGTCTGGTGCAGTCAAGAACCCAGGTTTCGTCACCACTGGTATTCAAATTGCTAAGAAGGAGGGTATCACTGGTTTGTACAAGGGTCTCGGAGCCGTTGTCATTGGTATCATTCCAAAGATGGCTATACGATTCTCTTCTTACGAGTTCTACAGAGGTTTGTTGAAGGATGAAAATGGTAACATCTCCACTGGTTCTACATTTATCGCTGGTGTCGGTGCTGGTATCACCGAAGCCTGTGCCGTTGTCAACCCAATGGAGGTTGTCAAGATTAGATTGCAAGCTCAACACCACTCCATGTCCGACCCATTGAGTGTTCCAAAGTACAGAAACGCTGGTCACGCCGTTTACGTTATTGTCAAGGAGGAAGGTTTCGGTACTTTGTACAGAGGTGTCTCCTTGACTGCTGCTAGACAAGCCACCAACCAAGGTGCTAACTTCACTGTCTACTCCAAGCTTAAAGAGTTCTTGGAGGACTACCACACAAAGAACGGTAACAACGGTGTGATCCCAAGTTGGCAAACTTCCTGTATTGGTCTCGTCTCTGGTGCCATTGGTCCATTCTCTAACGCTCCATTGGATACCATCAAGACCAGATTGCAAAAGGAGACCAAGTCCTCTGACCCTAACGACCCATTGTTGAAACAGTCTTCTGCTCAAAGAATCCTCAGAATCACAAAGGATTTGATCAGAGAGGAAGGTGTTGCTGCTTTGTACAAGGGTATCACCCCAAGAGTGATGAGAGTTGCTCCAGGTCAAGCCGTCACTTTCACCGTGTACGAGTACGTCAGAGGCGGCTTGGAGAAGATGCCGTTGTTCACTACAGAGGAGGCTGTCATCTTTGACGAATAAGTTTCCACTTTCATCTAAAAATGTGTATTTTTTAACATTCAATTGTATTTATTCTATTAGTTCCTATACCGTAAGATCATACAGAGCTCGCGTTATCAGTTTAAAGTGACTGGAAGCGGTATTCCAACGCCATAGTTGTGCCCACCTTTAGAGCTTCTGATTTTGAGGTGCTCTCATCATCATTAACATCACGTGCATGACATAAACCCTATCACGTGAGACATGGTGTCCGGATGTTTCACCGATGTCGAGGCAGATTTTCATGGGGTCCCTTGGAGCCAATCACAGCAACAGTGAGTGTAATTTGCCGGGACTTGGTATTGGTAACTATTTGAAGCGATGGATAAGCCACTGTGGTACCGTTGGGCTCGTGTCTATGCCGTTGGATTCGGTATTGTGATGACCGGTGTTTTGCTGTTCAAGTACACAACCCCTACTGAGGAGGAGCTCATCAACTCTTTGTCACCGGAACTCAGAGCACAGTACGAACGTGAAAAGGGGCTGAGAAGACGTGAGCAGGAGGAGCTGATCAAGATTGTCAAGCAGACTTCGGCATCAAACGATCCAATCTGGATGACGGGACCCATCAAGAGTCCCTGGGATAAGGACAACAAAATGGTTAACCTGAAGGAAAAGTACGAGAAGGAGCTTGCCGAGAAGAACCAATCTGATGAGTTAGAAAGGGTCCAAAGAGAATTGGAGATCGCACAGGAGAAGACCAGAAGGGAGACCGACGAGCAGTTAAAGAAGAGAACGTGGTTCTCATGGAGGTGAAATCTTGCGTAGCTCTCTGTAGGTGATCAACGTGTACATATTTTTGCTTGGTTAATTTATAATAATACTACCTATGGGAGGATAATTCTCTTTTACCCTTTTACCTTTCCTTCATTATGGTTAACGACCTGGCCATGTGAATCTAGCATCTCTTGCAAATGCAGACAGTGCACTTGTAGCGTTGGAGAATGGCGATATAGACGAGTTGTTCGTTTCATCATTTGCCTGATCAACAGCCTTGAGCAAGTATCACGCTAAAGTTAGTATGTGTTTTAGTGATAGTGGTAGGAACAGCAACTTACAGCAACTATGCTCGATATATTTGTCTCTATGACCATCCCACCTTGTACTATTTCCCTGCATTCATGAGTTAGAAACCATCCAATAGAAAGCAATACGAAGCCATGTACTCACTCCAATACGGTCTGAAGAGTCTGCCACCCAAACACCAGGTCCAATTCACACACGTTGCCGAAGCATCTATCGAGACTCTGTACAAAGACCTGGATCAGGTCCAGTATGCCCAATTCACTCTCTTGGTCATCGACGACAAACACGAAATACAGCGTTGCGTACTGTCTGTAGATGACCTTTATATCTTCGATTCCCTCCAGCAGTTCCGGCGGTGTTAGGAACGATGACTGCTTGGGACTTCTCTGGGAGACCAGTTGGTACACCTGGTTGAGCAATTCAGTCTGTGTTTGGATGTCCTAGGTTCGAAACACGTAAAAGTTAGTCCCTAGTCTCTCTTACATCATTTTATAGCGTAAACATAGAACTCACCACTGGTGAATAAAACTTTGTAAGCCTTGGTGCGCCGTCGTTGTTGACTTCTTTAGTGTTAGTCTAGTCGTACAATGAGGATCATGCCCTGACCACAATCCTGTGACTGGAACATACATATAAGCACGGAGTGGATCATTCTTGTGGCTATGATTGGCCTTGATCGCAATTTGTCCGATAGAGATTGATGATTCGCATTTTAATGTCACCTTTTGGGGGGGGGGACTTGGTCCGAGGAGATGTCCCGTAGCTTAATTATGTGGTGTTCGGGTGTGCAGACATTTACCTACAACATGGCACTTATAAGTGAACGGACAAACTGCTATGATGATGTTATAAAACAGCTCTCAGAGCTTGGACTTTGTAGAATCAACTTCTGCGACCACTTCAATCTCCACCAGGACGTTTGGATTTGGGAATCCGACGAGAATTGCCGATCTCGCCGGTTTAGTGGTGAAATATTTAGCATAGACCTCGTTGATTGCAGAAACGTCTTCTCTGTTTTTAATGAGCAATAGAACCTTTAGAGATTTATCAATAGATGATCCACTGGCCTCGAGGACCTTGATAACGTTCTTCAGTGCGTTTTCGGTTTGAGCTATACAGTTAGCTGGTAATTTACCCGTCGAATCGGTACCCAATTGCCCGGAGGTGAAGACCAGGTCTCTCGTCGCATATGCTGGGGATAACAAGTTGTTGCCACTGGATCCGATGTCTTCCCAAGTGATCTGTCTCACTGGTGAAGGCGAAGCTGCTGACGAGGCAATGACTTCCAATTCAACACCTATGTCACTGTTCGGGAAATCAACAATAATGAGAGATCTTGCAGGTTTGTTCTTGAAGTACTTTGGGTAGATCTTGTTAACGATGGATGCGTATTCCCTCTTGCTGATGAAGAATAGAACCTTTAGAGAGTTATCCAAGGAAGAACCACCGGCTTTCAACACTTTTGAAACATTTTCAATGGCATTGATGGTCTGCTCTGCGATATCAGAAGGCAGGTCACCATTTGAATCGAATCCAACTTGACCAGATGTATGCACCAATCCATGTGCTCTGAAACCTGGAGACAAGAACTTCAAAGCTGGTTCATTAATCTGCTCCCAACTCACCGGCTGCAGACTTGGATCCACAGTGGCAATGACTTCGAATTCAACAAGGACGTTTGGGTTCGGGAAGTCACACAGAATAGCAGATCTTGCCGGTGGAGCATTCCCAAACTTTGTCTGGTAGATCTCATTGACCACGGCTGCATCCTCACGTCTCTTGATGAACAACAACACCTTGACGACTTTGTACATGCTCGAACCTGTGGTTTCCAGGATTCTCTGCATGTTGAGACAGCAGTTCTCCGTCTGCTCAACGATATCGCTGGAAAGCTTCCCCTGAGCATCTGTACCAACCTGACCAGAGGTGAACACCCTCTGCTTGGACTTGTAAGCAGGTGACAGTGGCGGTAAACTTGTGGCCTTCGAGGACAACGACGGGTTCACCTGTTGCCATGTAATCTGTTCTGGTGAGACCCTCTTCTTCCAAAAGTTGAGAATTGACATGTTTATCTTCCAATTGATCGACTGATTGGCCTCTCGCTCTGTATCTTTGACCACTCGGAACGGTGTGATCACAATGGAATCGAATACAACCGAGTTGAGCTTGAGGAAAAGGGGCAGCTCAAGATTAAAAGGCTTTAGAGGATCTTTGCTTTAGAAGCGACGGTACCGGGACACACACAGTCGGAGTTTCACGCGATAAAACTCCGGTGGCGCGGAACTTTATCTGGATACACCCGGACACCCAAACACCCGGACACTACTGATTATATAATAAATTATATAATCTTTTCAGAAACACCCGAACACCCACCTTCTTTTTTTTTCTTTACCCTCCCTTTTGCTTTGCCCGTAGAACAAACAACATCAACACCTTCAATACCTTCAACATCTCCAACAAACAACGTCCAATTGGGTAGATATAGCGGTGTATCGCATTTCACTCTTTGTCTTCACGGCCTATTCAACCATCCGTCGGAAATACCAGAAATTATGTCGAACATTGATGAAGATGATGATGCCTTTCTCTACGGGGACGATTCTGTAAACGTTGCCTCTAATGATGGTGCCGTGGCTGCCAACAGCTCCGCTGGAACTCTCCGGGAGAAGAGTGAAGCCTCCAAAGATAGTAAGGAACAAGGTGACGCTGATGATGACGGTAACAGCGACGAGCAAAGAGAAGGGACAGGTGAAAATGGAGAAGAAGAAGAAGATGGTGATGAGTCCGATTCCGATTCTGATTCCGATATAGAATTCATCATTGGTTCAGAAGAGAATAAAGAAGACACCGGCACAGAAGACTTAATGGACACTGCCACAACGACTGCTGATGCTCAAACTGCATCTGGTGTTGTTCCAGAATCAATCGGCGAAACGGCAATTGTCGTGAATGACGAAGATGGCTCATCTGAATCCGCAGCCCAGCAACAATCTACAGACGCAACGATCACACGTGTCCCTGGTATTGACATCAACAAGGTTGGTGACTTTGAAGGCAAGCCAATAACGCAGATCAACCTACAGGACTTGAAGGAGAAACCTTGGAGACAGCCAGGTGCCGACGTGTCTGAGTACTTCAATTTTGGGTTTAACGAACTCACATGGACGATGTACTGTGCTAAGCAGGATAAACTGAGACAGCAGTTCAACCCTCAAAAGGCATTTATGGAGCTAATGCCCATGGCCATGATGGGTGGAATGCCACTGCCCAATATGCCTATGATGCCAGGCATGCCTTCAATACCAGGCATGCCTCCAATGCCGACGATGCCAGGAATGCCAGGAATGCCAGGCTTACCAGGAATGCCCCCATTACCCCAAATGCCATCAATGCCTCAACAACAGCAATCACAGGAACAGCAAGATTCTTCAAACAAATCTACACCATCGATGCAAATACCGCAAGCACTTTCAGGACCTTCACGCTATAGCAACGGTAGTAACAACAACTACAACAAAACAGCGAACAGTGACTTCCCATCAGGACCTCAAAAGCAACAGGACTATCCAAGAGACCGTGGGGATAGAGATAGAAGCGAAAGAGATTGGGAGAGGGAAAAGAGCAATGAACCGGTTGATCAAGAAAGAAACGACAACTTCAGAGAAAGAGAGCAGAGGTACAATTCACGTCAACGTGGTGGGTCAAATCGTAGAGGTCGCAGAGATTACTACTGACGTTATGTCAACGGAACTTGGATGGATACATGTAGTGTCTTTTCTTGTTATATGTAACGATTCTCACTTCTTCATAATAATAAAAGAATGGAAATATAAGTACAAGACCAACAGGGACAACATCATCATTGGGCTCTGGCCTCGTTCAACTTCATCACCCATGGTTGGTGTAGTCTGTTCAAATCAACAATCTTCTCAAGAACACGGATCCATTCACTCTTCAATTGACTTGTATCAGCGTTGAAATTAATCACTTCGCCATTCTTGAACTTCAACTTGAAGCCGTCGGTAATGAGAACATCTTCAGTGACATTCCTCTGATGAGGGAGCCTCTTCTTACCACTATAAATTACTTCCACAACCTTCAAAAGGTTGATCTGTGCTCGTGGCTTCCTCGTGTCTTCGGTATGTGCAACCATTGAGGTACCTTGAATGGTGAAGAAACGACGCTTCCAAAGTTCACAATCGCCACCTTCTTGGAACAGGTATCCTTCAAACTTGATGTTGGACTGCTCCAATACATGATCAGCAACCGCCTGTGCAATTTTGATGGAAGGCGGCAGGTTCTCCAATGGAGAGGTCCTTGGAATGTAAAGCATTGTGGCTTCTATTTTACCGATAGCATGGGGTGGTTTCTTATATTCAACACCATTTTGAACCTGCGTTTCCCATTCGTTGAACAACTCAACAGTATAATCACGAGTCTTCGAGGTTATCTGGTTATCTTGGACATAGAAGTTAATCTTGTTCTTACCAAAGCTCCCATCAGTTGCAAAACGATTATCCCAGTCATCATTGACTCTCTTTCTTGTTTCATAACCCTTTTCCACTCTGTACTTTGGTTTGGAGCCGAATAGTTTACTGAATCTATTAGGATTATTCAGGGGAATCTTCTTGTAGACATCAACAAGTTCATTATCGGGTCTTTGATAAGACACTTTCAAAGTGAAATACAATTCTGTAACATCCTCCTCAACAGCAAGTTCAAATTCCTTATCGATCACAACTACGTTGTTGAGATCCATCTTTGGTGTAGAAATGGTATGTTTACCATTGTCGAGGTATAGTTTGAAAGTGGCCTTGTGCTGCTTGATCTCCTTCAAATTAGAAATCAGCAAGGAATTAACGTGAATGTACAAGCGACCTTTATCATCAGATGGCAATCTTAGTTCATCACCAACAGTTATGTTTCCACGTGAGCTGCGTTTCTTAACCTTCAGTGCAGATACATCTGCAGGTTTTGATTCTGGGTATTGTGTCACCATTTCAAGAGGTGGTTTTCTCCTTGGCATAGAAGAAACTCTGTTCACATCTTTCTCGTCAAGTGCCACCAATGGGGTTCTCACCCTAGGCCCACTTGGCTGACGTGGACGACTAGATCTTTGTTTAGCATAGTCTAACAATGAAGTCTCTGAAGTAGGTTCTGGAGCAGACGGTTCATGCTGTTGTTCATCATCCTCGTATGAGTTTGACTTTGCAACAATCATCTCCTGGTGTTGATGGGTGACATACTTGCTATCTTGCAGTTGAACGACCCTATTGAAATCATCACTTAGGTCAAATCCACTAGCTTCAGAGGAGCCAGAGATGAATCTCTTATTTTCTTTCTGCTTATCAACTCTAGGAACAGTAATTGATTTATCAGTCTTGATGACGTGACGTGGTGGAGTTTCGACCAATTTTGGCTCAATTCTGGATTTGACAGTCGCAACTAGGCTATTCGAGAATTGCTTTGCGTATATGTCAGATGCGAATGAGTCATTCCGATCATATTCAATGGTCACACCAGCATCCTCTGTATTGGCAACAACCACACCACCCAATGCCGAAGAAGACTTGACATTACCTACACCAAGTTTCGTATCAAGAAGTTGTTGGAATCTGCCATCGGAATCCACAGGAGGCGATGCTCTTGTGCTTGTTGTAGTTGATCCGCCCAATGAACCCCAAATGGCCTTCACTTCCCTATCATTAGGAATAGTTTGCAACTCTGCCAGTTTTGCCTCAAAGTCTTCTTCATTCTTCGAAACATCCCATTCCTGGAATGCAGCACCAAAATCTGAAGAGTCACTTATATTAGGGAGATCAACACCAGAATTGTCAATATTGAATGATGAGTCGAGTGCCATTGAAGAGCGCTTTGAATCCATGTTAATGTAAGACGATCTTGAGACTGATTTAGCGACAAAAGGCCTTGGGATTTCCAATGATGCTCTCCGAGAAATTGGTTCCGTTTTAACAAAGGAGGAATCAAGTGTGGTATTCTCATAGTACTCATCGTTTGTTCTTCTTACGCTCAATACTTTCAAAAGATTGGATGGAGCTGGTACTTTCTTACCATCCAATCTGTACTGTGGCTCAGGTATCACTGCCTTCGGTTGATTATGCCAAATCTCAATAAAACTCGTTGGCGGCGAGCTCACTGAATCCTCCTTAGGCGGTTTATCATGGAACAGAGTACTATTGAAAGTTGGGAGCTGTACAGACTTTGCACTGCCGTACACAGAAGGTTCAAGGGATCGGTAGCTATCAACGTCATCGGTTTGAACAGAAACTTCTTTCACCATTGGAGTTGTCTGGACACCAAAACTGTTCGCCATCTTGGAAGGAGAGAGTTGAACAGAGACTTCATGGCCAACTTGTGATTCACTTCTCTGTGTAGACTGAGGTTCAAATGTCATATTATCAGAAGTGAATTCCCGAGGTAGAACATCAGAAGACTCCTGCAAAGGAACGTTTTCTTTGCTCTCCGTTATTGAAAGTGCGGCTTCATCTGTATTATCATTGTCACTATTAGCTTTAGTGATTTCCGTATTGTCAAGTTCAGCAAGATCCGGTTCCCCCTGGCTAAAGTCGTCTTCAATCTGTCTATCAGAGCATTCTTGCTCATCTGTAACGTTTCCAATTTCCTCGACATCGATACTTTCCATTATAATATTCGATTCACCAGGTTCAGCCTTATGTATATCTTCAGTTGTATGCAAATCTTTCAGGAAATCATCTCTCTTGACGGACATAGACAGACTTCTATAACTTTGATCCATATTATCCGAACTGTTATAGAGCCCCGTTTCTCGGAATTCGTCTGCAAATGAGCCATTGTGGGATTCAACACGTAACAGTTGAGCAGGCTCAACCATAAAGTCATCTAAAAGGTCAGCAGCTTCGGATATTGGAGATGTGTTCTTCAAAAGTGCGCTAACTTCGCTATTATTAATTGGTGATGTGTCTGGTTCAGCAGTCTCTGATTCGGATTCTGGTAATGATTCCATGTCATTATGATTATCAACATTTGTGTCGGAAGTTGTAGCAATAGATTTGTTCACCATACATTCAACAGGCGTGATTGAGTTTACTGGCTCAATTGTGGAAACTGATTGGACTCCTTCATTTGGTGCGTTCCCAGTAACTGACTCGGTTATTGCAACCGGCTCATCTAAGTCATTCATCTTTGTGGAGGATGTATTATTATTAATGGATGATTCGATGAAAGGAGAAGGTTGTAAACGAGCAACAGGTTCCACATGTTCCACATGTTCCACATGTTCCACATGTTCCACATGTTCCACAGATTCCACGGCATTACTAGAATCAAGTTCTGAAACCTCATTGAAAAGTTTTGGCAACGACAGGCTTGAGGACTCAGCCAACAAATCCATGGTAACATCTGAAATTTCAATGGGTTCTTTCTCGATTGGTTGTTCAACTGGCATAGGTTCCAACGATGATGCCTCTTCTGCAAGACCATCCCCAGTACGTGAAACATCAGCTGTATTTTCCAACAATCTATCTGTAGGTTCAGATCCAAAGTCTGGTAATTCACCTGGAATAGTTACAGATACATCTTTGTCGTCAAAAGATTTGGTTGGTGAAGGTTTTCTTGGACTCTTCGTAAAAGAAGAGATGAAAGACGAAATGGATTCACTTAATGACAGTTTCTTCTTGTGAGTCTTTGGTGTAGATTCAATATGTTGTTTATCATCTTCTTGAATGGTAGAGATTGAAATATGAGAATCCATTGACGGTAAGGCCTGTGTTGTTGTTGTTGTGACTAATGGTTCGCTTTCAAAAACATCAGTTGCTGAAGAGAAGGATTCCTGAACACTAACGGCATCACTATTCTGTGGTAGATTGTTCAAGTCGGCATGTTTCAAACCATCTTTCAAAACTATCGGAGTTGTTGATTTCGCCACCACAGTAGTGACCAACTGTCTCTCTTCATCCCTCAATGATTCGTTTGAACTTTTTCTCCTCAATTGTGGATCTAGACGGAGCACAGTAGAGTCTTTATCCCTATTGACGAGGTCAACTTCGAACATTTTTGATGCATCCCTCAATTGGTTATCCTCTTCTAATTGCTTTTTAGTCTTAATGTTCAAGATGAATTCTGCCTCCTTATTAGACAAGGTAGGTTTTCCAGGAGATCCAGAGCCTCTGTTAACTTCGTCTTCTTGGACCCTCTTGGAGACCTCATCGGTGCCTAAAACCAAGTCAAGTTTTTCCTGTAAAGTCACCGATTGGCTCATCAACTCTTCCTTTGTCAAGCTGTAATCGTTTGTATCCTCATCGCTCGAACCTAACGTCGTGTCCTTCAACGGAGGTGACACACTAACTATCTGGTGTTTTGGCAAAGGCGGTGGCAGAGTGTGTGATTTCAACTTCAAGTCCCATTGTGGGTTTAACCCATTCTCGGTATCATTGTCATCTCCAACTGAATCATCTGATAGATTTGGAGTCTTCGGTTCAGGATACTCCAAAATCTTTGGTGGGGATTGATCGAAACATACAGATTTCTTTGATGGAGAAGAATCCCTGCTTAGCTTGAAGCTTGACGATCTACCAACTGATCCAGAAAGCGTCCTAGAGAGGGTAGAGTTTGCCAATTGACGTGGTCCGCACACCCTCGTGATAGAAGACACTCTGTTGAGCTTTGTGTTGAATTCCAGCTCATCAAACGAAGGTGCCCTTGGAATATCCTGCATGACAACGTGGTCATCGTCAGTTTCCTTCACAGGTGAACACGGCAAGCTCTTTGAAATTGGCTTACTATCCAACTTGTGCTTGATCTGTGGCGATAGCGGAGAGCCGCTGTGCTTCCACTTCAAAGGTGTTATAGGGTTATCGTCCGACGTGTTCAATAACCCATTATAATCAGCAGTCTTATCCCCCTCGTTCTGCAGGTTGAGAGACGAGGTCGACAGGTTGTTGTTTATGACTTGGAGAAGGTCATCAACAGAATGGTTCAGATGTTCTGTGTCCAGCACCTCCTTGACAGGTGTGGAGGAGGAATTCGGCATCTCCATTGTTTACGATTGGAAAGCAAGCCAGAGAAGCAGAAAAACAGACCAAGTAGAGCACGCTAGGAAAGGCGAAGTGGAGGGTAAGCAAATGGCAACCAGGTGGTGAAGATTAAGCGAATGATAACACTGAGCGCCCTGCTATGGGGTTTTGTAGTTGGTGAAGTTTGCGTTGTGTACGTTGTGTTTGTTTACTTTGTATTTTTTCTCTCTCTGTTTTTGTGGTTAGAATTTCGCGTCACGGCGGCTAACACCCAAAGCAAAGAAGGTAAAAAACACGGAACACAAAACCCTTGTGTTTACGTTTTACCCGATCGGGATATTCGCGGGGATGTATGTCACGTGCTTTAAAGCGTGATACGTTCTGGTACACACCACATCCCCTGAGGAGCGGTCCTCGTTGGATTGTCCCGCCCCGACAAACTTGTTCTAGAACAGTATTCTCAGCCTGCGCGTATTGCATCGCACTTTTGGCCCCAAAGAGGCCACACCAGCTATGGCATTAACAAGAGAACCACGGAGGCTCTTCTCTCTCTCGGCTTCCAAAAGGCCAATTGATAGCACCATATGCCCTTGTTGATGTACAAAGCTATCCGTGTCAACTCTGTTAACCCTGTGGGTGTGTGGACGGTCCAACTCGCCGCCCCAACTCGCCTGCGCCCGTAGTATAAATATAGAACCAACGTCATCGCTCACCTACGCTGTGCAGTCCCAATCAACAACAGAAATAGGCTGTGCAGAAGTCGTTGCTGCTGTTGTTGATCTCGTGCTCTCTGCCGTTCGCGTCCACCAAGAGAGAAACACCTACAAAATTTTCCAGCACCCGCCAATACTCAACGATGCACCGTGCGTATGAGTTTTTCTGTTGCTGTTGTATGGAACGCTTGTTTCGGATACAACAGAGGAAGCGTCATAGGATGAAATTGTACGTATACTACCACAAGTATTACATAATACCATTGCTCCCTTGGGACATCAAGGCAACCACGGCCCTGTTCTACAACCACTGGAGGGTAAGAAACTACACAGAACACGCCATCTCTGTATTAAAAGCGTTGTAGTATTCTAAGCCTTCCACCAACATTTTCCACCACAGCCAGTGAACAGCAGTAAAAAAGTGCTTGATGGAAGTTTTAGAAGCGTAGGCGGAACAACCGACTGCCGATGATTTTGTCGCGCCCCCTGTCCGCCGCCTAGAACAAAGCGCGCTGTTGGCTTAGGGAGAAAAAAATTACTCTGAGGGATAAATTGACGTCTTCAGTCCGGGAAGGGCCGCAAGGAGGAGCAAGTCCCCTCTGTCTAAGAGTTTTGCCCCTTCCGCCTGCCTGTGTGTGGTTTCCGCTACAAGTTTTCTCTGCCTAGAGGCTTCTGTGCTCCTTCCAACATTCGTAGGCTGCCCCTATTTTTCCTGGCGTCGCTCTTTCTGTGTAGGCCCACTAAGGGAATTTTACGAGAAGGTTAGGAAAAATCTCAGCTTCAACTTCTATAAACCTTTCCCCTTTTTCCTTTGTTTCTCCATTTGACATTCCAATTGACGAGAAATCCGGTTGAACAGTCGTTCCTGAGACCACGTTGCTTGCCAGGACTTGTGCTGATTACCCCTTCTAAGCTGAGTATACTGCCCTCTTTCCGCACCTGTTTGTGATTCTGTCCCGTTGCTCATCTCGAAGGCATAGTAGAAGTTGTCGAGCCACTGAAACCACGGAAATCACTGAAACACGCAAACCAAGCTTGCTGAAACCCGGAGAACGGTTGTGAAGAAGATGACGTTCCCGAAGGACTTGCAGAGTGGGTTCTTACAAGTGCCAGAGGAGTCACCGTTTATGTCGCGTTCGCCGAATAGGTCTGGTTCCCCATACCTGCTTGACTTGCAGTCACACTCGCAGTCACATCTACAACAGCAATCACGGTCCCAGTCCCAGTCCCAGTCCCAGTCCCAGTCCCAGTCTCAGTCTCAGCACCTGGCTCCAAACCTCGGAGGCTTTAGAACCAGATCAAGAGCTGGCACTTTGCCGTCAAGGTTGTATCCAACCTCCACCACTGGGACGATACCCAATTCAAACAATACAACGCAGTATTCAACCCCACAGTTCAACCCGTTTGACGTTGCTAATCTGCCTCTCGACCAACTGTCGATTAACGGCTCGCTCCAGGATACAACGCTAAGCAGCACGAGATCAACAAGAATCCGCTCAGGATCTCTGTTTGGCCTGTCAGACTCAAATTCCATCTGGAGCAACGACTCGCAAGGAAGCACAAGTGCCATGGCCTGTGCCATCAATACCATGAACGCTGTGAACGAACCAAATTCACCTCTGGGCAATTCCAGTGGTAACGATTTCTTGATCCAGGGAAGAAATTCCCCTTCCAAGTTCTTGGATGATCACATGAGGGTCCGAGCTTACTCCACCAACAACGTTCCACTGTCGGAGCAACCCATACAGTTTCGTCTTCAGCAGCCGTTTGGTACCTTGAGTGAGAACCAGGCTGCGATGTTTGGAGTACAGGACCCTTCATTGACTGGATATCTACAGGAATCAAGACCTAGAGCTCAGACTTTCCAAAACGGTGTGGAGAACCAGGCCATGCTCTTCAACTTACAACAGCAGCAACAATATCAACAGCAGCAGCAGTTCCCACCGGAGTCCTTGATCGGCTCGACAAATGCTACAACGTCGAACTCATCTCTACAGAAAGTTGGCGAGCCTCTGCTGCTGGACCACATCGACCATAGATTGCTGAACTGGACTTCAACATTCTCTGATAGCTCATTAGGCCCAACAAACACCCTGTTCTTGTCCAATCTGCCACCTCAGGCAATCACACCGGTTTCTTTGGCGAACTTGTTGATGAATTTTGGGCATTTACTCACCGTTAGAGTGTTCCAAGGCAATGAAAGCGCAATTGTTGAATTTGAAAACTTGGAGTCTGCTATGCTTGCAAAGGCTCAGTTACACCACCAGGAATTGTTGCCTGGTTATTCCTGCTTGGTTGCATTTGCAAAGATCTTCCCACCACAGCAGCAACAACAACAATTGCAACCTCAAGTTCAGGTTCAACCTGTGCTTACTCCACAGCAAACTCCACAGAACAGCTCTACTCTACGCCCATTGACACCTCCACATGATGTCTTACCTCCTCCATTATTACAGCAGAGCAAGGAATCCCATGACAGACAGCAAATTGTTGATACGATTGATCCAGAAGTTCCAGAGTTGAAGGAAGTTGTCGATCAAATCTTGAAGTATTCCAAATCATTTGGTGTTAACGTTTCTGACGGTATTATCCCAAATATCATTTCAAATGCTTTGAAGTATGAAGGTAATGATACCGATTTGGGGCCTTTACCTGATCCAATTCCAATAAGAGACTTTGATGCTCCGAAGTTAAGAGAGATTCGAAAACTGATTGATAACGAATCCCTGACAACGTTTGAGATTGAAGAATTGGCCATGGCCATGCTTGAGGAACTGCCTGAGTTATCCAGCGACTACTTGGGTAACACGGTGGTTCAAAAGCTGTTTGAATTCGGTTCAGCTCCAATCAAGCACGTCATGCTTAAAGAGGTGTCTAGGTATTTGGCACAGATGGGTGCGCATAAGAATGGTACCTGGTCTGCTCAGAAGATGATCTCTGTTGCTGATACTCCTTTACAGAAGCAGACCGTGGCAGAGAGCTTGAAGCCTTATTGTGCGCCTCTGTTTAACGACCAGTTTGGTAACTACGTGATTCAGTGCTCGCTCAAGTTTGGTTCTCCGTGGAATAACTTCATCTTTGAAGCTATCCTGGCAAAGTTTTGGATCATCACCCATAACAGGTTTGGTGCTCGTGCTGTTAGAGCATGTCTTGAGAGCCATGAGGCAACGTTGGAGCAAACAGCACTGGTTTCTGCTGCCATTGTTGCGTATGCTGACCATTTAGCAATTGATCAAAACGCTGCATTGCTCATCACCTGGTTCTTAGATACTTGTACTCTACCAAACAGACATATGCTTTTGACACCAAGGTTGGTTCCACATCTGGCACAACTGTGCACTCACAAGCTTGCCAGCTTGACGATCTTGAAGATTTTGAACAATAGAAGTGAACCTGAGGCTAAGAGTATGATATTGACTGCTTTGTTTGGTGATGTGAATGCATCGGTCGAGAACACCAGACCTCCACAGTTGTTGGAGCTAGTGTTACAGGATAGTTCCCATGGTGCCGGATTCATCTTCAAAGTGTTATCGAACCCACAGCTGGAGGCTGATGTTCGCAAGCACGTTGTCAGCCAAGTGCGCAAAGTGTTGGTGGAGATGAACATTTCCTCTTATCAGGATTATAAGAGACTAATGGACGAGGTTGGGCTATCTTCAAGAGGTGACGGCTCATCACGTCATAATAGAAGCCATTCCAATGGCAATGGGAATGGATCATCCAGAGGCAAAAACAGGCAGAACAAGTCACCTCAAAATGGCTACAATAACCGTCGTTCCACTACAAACGGGGGCTTCAAGCACCAGAACCAAAACTCACAGGGCCATGTCCACCAGCACTCTTCGTCTTCATCTTCGTTGCAGCTGTCTGGTGTGGTTCCACAGCAGCAACAGCAACAGGTTGGAGCTCAATTCAACGATTTCAACCCCCAGATGTACATAACACCTCAACAATCACAACAGCATCATCATCATCAGCAGCAGCAGAACTATTCTGCGCCAGAGATGTTTGAGTTTGACAATGGAGTTGCCACACAGAGTTCACAACAGGCACCACCATACGGTAATGTTCAGATCCCCTATGGATACAGTGCTGCACACTACTGATGAGATATTTGAAATTTATGACCGTATCATGATAGTCTACTTATATGCCTTTGAAAGCTTGCTCTTTTGTTAGTCATATACTATTACATCACATGTTTATACCTGTTTGATTTGTTTTTTAAGCTAATACACTAATGATCATATAACAGTCCTGTGTAGCTCGAATATCATTGGAACAACTCAGCAATCAAGTATGGAGCAAAGACAACAACTGCGGTGAACAAAACGGTGAACACCTGGACAATTGACAATGGTAGCAATAGCACTCCATTATCGACAAAGTTACAGTACACGGAGTACAAGGCCACTTTGGTAAAGACCCAGGTCAACAGGAAAGGCTTTGGAATGGTGCCACTGAGGAATCCAACTGGAATGCTGACACATTCACCTCCTCTTTGGAAGTACTTGAAGCAGCCTCTTTGCAAAATCTTCAGATTCGACGAGTCCGCAGCAAACAGCGAGAAGAGGGCAATTGACAGGATGTTGATGACAGCATCGAGGTCCTTTCTATCGTAGTGGAAGTCGATGATCTTTGCGGATGTAACTTCACGATCCGAGAGTGAAGGAACGTCTTCTAAAGTTCTGACAGCCATGGCAGCGTCGTTCAAACCGACAGTCATACCTCCACCTGTCAACGGATGTCTCATGTTCAGTGCATCACCAATGAGGAATAGTCCAGGAACATCGTTGAGTCTCGCAGTCAAGTACGAGTTTGGCATCGATTTTATAGGCTCTTCCAACGCCTTCGTGAAGGAAGGCTGTAATCCTATAGGGAACACCGGCAGCACCTTTTCCCTGAGATACTTCTTCACATCACGTGGCAATTGAGGGCTGTTATAAGCACACAGGACCCTTGTGTCTGTTGGAGTGATCTGGTACACCAGAGCAGGGTCGCATTTTGAATTCAAAATGACATGGCCTGTGTTTGGCACTGGGATATCGGCGTTGTGCAACTTCAACGCTATGAAATGCGAGTTGACAGATGGCACGTTATCATCAGTCAATGACTTTCTGAACTTGGAGAAGATACCATCGCACATGAAGGTCAAATCACCGGTGAATCTCTGAGGAGAGCCACCGTCGCTAGGCTTAACAACGATCCCGTGAACACCGTCTGCATCTCTTATGAGTTCAGTGACCGTTCCTTCGAGCGTAGTCACGTTCTTCTCGGCTTTCACGATCTTTCTCAAGTTGGAGATGAACTTGCCGTGCTCAAACGACACTCCAACCTCGTATTCGTTATCTTCGAACTCGGCGGTGGTGACGAAGCCATCGTCCACCACCTTGTCATTACCACCAAATACACAGCTCTTGATTGGTGGCACCACGGCGGTGTCTGCCTTGTGCGGGTAAGGAATCGACACTGCCTCACCTTCGTAGAACACGGTATAGCCAGTTTCCGGCGTGGCCTCGATGTTGTTGATCGCCTGGATCATACCCAGGGAGCGCAGTGCCTTCAGCCCAGCAGGTTGCATCAGCTCACCAACAATTCTATCAGGCTCTGACCAGTCACGCTCGACAATCAGAACACGGCGGCCTTGACGTGCCATACCAGTGGCTATGGCGGGGCCAACCACACCGGCGCCGACAACAATAGCTTCGTAATGGTTGGACATAGTTCTCTATACCTTAGGAGACGATGAGGTGATAGCTTCAGCTGAGTACCTCAAAGGAGACAAGGATCTGTGTATTTATAATCAGTGGTCTTCGCCGTCACACACAGAGCTATACGACAAACCTCAGATGATGTTTGTAGAAAGAGGACGAGAGAGAGAGAAGATCAACGTCTCGAAGTGCTTGTCCGAGGACGTGTAATGGTTCGATGTTTCGTATAGATCGCGGAATTCGTTAAACGAGCGATGAGCTTCGAGTTGTACGCCACGCTTACGAGTTTTATAGGCACTTGGTGGGGGGATTCGGGTGTTATGAGCTGGCGGAGCTAGTCTGAGTATATGGGATCTGAACACTTGTGAAGATTGAAGCGGGATCCATGTTCAATTGGTTGGCTATGTGCAGAGGAAGGGAAGGGAAGGGCGTGGCATAGTGTGATGTCGGTGGATTTCCGAGGTATCATATGTCACGTGATATGCTCCCGGAAATAGCGCATCCGAGGTTGCTGGAGCAACCCCGAAACGTAAACACTCGCTTACATAAGCGTACCATCAACAGCGGGAAAAAGTGTAAACAAAGGAGTGTAAACAAAGCACAGAAATGTAAACAAAGCTCCTCTTCAACACCACCGCCAACGCAGTCAACACCGCTAATGCCACCGAGAAAGAAGAGATCGTCGTCTTCTGTGGCGAGCACCACGCACGAGGAGCCATCGAACTTGGCTGCCACGAACGTCAGGGCACAGACCTTTGTGAACCACCAACTGCCCAACGGATCAGCACGCTCATGGCCTCATAAGACGCCATCTCCTGAATTCATGGCCAAAGCTGGTTTCTACTTCTTCCCTACGGACCGGTTGAAGGATCGTGTCAAGTGCTTCTACTGTAAGAAGGCCCAGTCCACCTGGAAGAACGTGAAGGACCCCACAAGCCATCATTTGAAGAAGAGCCCATCTTGCCTGTTTGCTCAGATGCATCACTATATGACTGAGAGCAACTCCAACCCTGGCTTCGACTGGGCCAGTGCTGGCATCTTTGGCGACCCTTTGTGTGAGGAGGCTGTGAAGATGAGGACGGAGTCCTTTGCGAACTGGCCCTTCGACAAGCTCGCGGCCGCTAAGCCGACGAGTGACAAGATGGTGGCTGCTGGGTTTGTTTACTATCCACAGGAGGAGGAGGACGACCTGGCCATCTGTATGTACTGCGGCACGTCGCTCGAAGGCTGGGAACTGGATGATGACCCGATGGAGGAACACCGGAAGAGAGCGCTGGAGAGAGATTGCCATTTCATTAGGGTTTTTGACGGGTCAGTTTCAAACTCTTCGAAACGACAGAGCGATCAACTTTTGGTCTCACCGGTAGAGAAAAGGTCGAAGTTGATGACTGAAACGTCGACAATCGAGGAAGAGAATGAAGAGGATGAGGAGAACGAAGAGAATGAGGAGAACGAAGAGAATGAGGAGAACGAAGAGAATGAGGAGAACGAAGAGAATGAGGAGATAGCGGGTGCGACGAAATCGGATCTTTTAAAAGACGACGAGGATCAATCAATAAGACGAAGACCTAGAAGAGTGCGGAAAGTTGTCAAGAGATTAATTGATGATGGCTCTTCGGTGGATGAAACTCAGCACGATGAGACGTTCAGTCTAACTGGTAATTCTGAACACTTGAATGCCGACGAGGAGTACTTTGAATCGTCTAATACAAGATCAAACAGATTGAAATCTTCTTCGAAACATGCACCACCAACGTCTCCACTCAAAAAATCAAAGATCTTGGATAGTTCGATGGATAAGGAAGATATATTTGCTGCAAATGATAAAAACATTGAATTACCACCCATTAAGTTACGCTCAAGCCCAGACAAGAAACCTAAGAGGAACTCGACATTACAGGACATTACGAACTTGAGGTCCCCACAAAAGGGACAGGTTCAACAAGTGAACGACAATAACGATGAAGATGAAATCTTACTAGTCACAAATAGTAGTGACAGGTCAAGATCATTGATGCCTTCTGTGTCTCCAGCAAAGTCACCTGCAAAATCTTCTCCAAAATCTTCTTTGGAGCTTCCATTGGCTGATGTGCTAGATCAAAGCCATCTCAAGAATTCAGATGATGATGTTGCGACTATCAGACCTCAGTCACAGAATGGTGATTTGTTAGGTGGGTTGAACAACAGCTCATCTCCATTGTCCTCTTCGATCTCACAGTTGGATCCATCTCCGCTGGCTTCCAAGTCTCAAGGAACAAATTCTCCTGCAATATCAGAACAACTTTCGAAGAGAGAACTTCGGATAAATCGAACCAATTCAAGATTTTTCGATAGTCCTAAAAGAAGCGAAAGTCCCTTCCTTGATAAGGACTACAAGGGAGATGATAAGATTGAGCTCCCTGTTTCAACTGCTGTTGATGAGGATCTACCAGTTGATGATGATACGCCAATAGGGGAATCCACGGATCACAATATCCAGATCAGTGAACCAGCCCCTGAAGCGAAATTTGAACCACAACAACAGCTCATTGCTGAAGATGATAATGAATCGTTCCATTCAGCTGAGGAAGAGACACCGGATAACTTTTGGCAACCAACTAATACGAATAAGTTGTTTGAAAACTTGGAAGACTTGGACACAGCACGCAAGTTTCTCGCAGTGCTTCATGATTTACCTTATGAGTTGAACGACGATATCGATGGAAGAGTCAGCTGCTTCATTAATGAAATGCCCGATGATGAGATTGAGATGACCATCGAGCAATGGATTACGCATATTGCATCACAAGGCCGTGAACATCTAAACACTGTGTGTACAAAGATGTTAGATGTATTCGACGATGAATGCTCGAGGGCTTTGAAGAGACTTGAGAATCTCCCAGTGAGAACTCCATAAATGGTTTTTAAACGTATCTGAGCTGGTGATGATGATCGTAAGAACACATGTACAAAGAGAATCTAAACATAATTTGTCATTACAACCTTCACATGAAACATAGACTTGATCGTCAGTGTTCATAGTTATTATATCAAAAGCAACCTACTTTCTTTTTGTTAGCTTGTTATTTACCTTATTCGGAATCCACTTCAACAACGTCGACATCAGCATCAACATTCGCCTCCATAACCACATCTTGGTTTGCTTCCACACGGGCCTGTTGTACTTGTCCTTGGCCATCTCCTTGCACTTCAGCAATATTGTTATTATTATTATTCATTGGGACCCCTATGCCAAACCCATTGAACAACCCATTGTCGCCTAGTTGACGTCTTGCACGGTCCATGAGCCCAGCATGGAAGTTATCCTGTTGTTGCTGTCTCTGCTGTTGTCCTTGTGCCTGTTGTGGTGGTATCTGTACTGGGAACCCCCTTATGGGGATCCCAGCCACAAGATTGACCAAAGGCTGTCCATCAATGAGTCTTGTTGAGTTGAACTCCTCTGGTCTTGTTTCGTACAAGTTGATGAGGAATTCTCTCAATTTACGAACACCCTGACCGGAAAACACGCAGAACAGTGCCCTCTGATGTTCGTTGAAATCACTTGGAGGTTCACGACAATAGCAGAGGATATCAGGTCTCAGGAATGCCCGTATACCTGTCAACGACAAATGTGTTAGCCTTGGACATGCACGAAGTAGATCCAATATCGGCGACAGTCCTAGATTCGTACAATAAGAGAGATGGACCCTTTCAAGAGTATCGTCATGGCCTCTTCTGATGACAAAGTTATGAATGCCCAAATCCGTGATGTTCAGGCACTTGACCAATCCAATTCTCCTTAATCTGGCCAAATGCGCCAATTCTATCAACGAGTTGTTGGTGAGTTGTTGACAACAAGCCAAGTCGATGTATTGCAAACGGTGACAACTTCTCGCCAAAATGATGATTCCCAAGTCTGTTATATGCGTGCAATGGCCCAAATGAACATAGTGTAAGTTCTTACCTAGCCTTGCCAGTGATCTCAACGAGGAGTCCGTGACCATGGTGCACTTCGATAGAACAACGTTCCGTAACCGTGGAGCTGCTTGGACGATTCTCTCGACACTCTGATCTGTGATCTGTGTACAGCCCGTGAAGTCGATGATTCTGAGCCTATCGAACTGGGCATCCTCTGGGATTGATCTAAAGAGCTGATCAGTCACGTTCATGTTCTGAGAGATTCTAAACTCCCTGAGCTGTTCCAATCCGACAAATAGCGTGATCAACGAGTCATTTGTCAAGTTTACGCAATTGTGAACGTCAACCTCGATCAACGACTTACAATTGTTGACAAAACACCAAAGGTCCTCATCTGTTAGGCTCAGGTTATCGGATAATTTCATCCTCTTGAGCATTGGGCAGCTGTTGTAGATTGCGCTTATGCCTCTTCGAGTGACAGATTTGCAGCCTGGGGCATATAGACCTTGTAGCCTTGGACAGTTTTGCCCCAATGCTTCAAATATATCGTCGTCGATGCTTTTAACACCAGTCATATCTATGGATTGTAGCTTTGAGCAGTTTTGCAACACATTACAGATCGACTCACTCGAGAGCCTTGAGCAGTTCACCAACGTGAGTCTCTCCAAGTTATAGCAGCCTTCAAACAAGTTCAAGAAGTCGCTGTCGACACGCTCGTAGATGAAGGACAGGTTTAGACGACGTATGAATGGCCTATAGTTCCAGTACGTCTCATTGGGGTTCATCGACATAACCTGTTGTAACCCGGACATTGCTCGAGACGTCATCAGCGAAGGTCTGAACCATAGCAGCTCCACGATGAGATTGCTCCATCTCTTACAGACCCTGAGCAAAGGCACTAGCTCGGATTTATGGCTGATCTGAGAGAATATCAACAACAGCACCTCTGTTGGGATCTTCCTTATAGGTCCCAACTCGGCCATTGGTTCTCCCTCGTGGAGTGTGCCGTTGAGGCCGTTGTTCAAGGTCAAGTCAGTGGTGTTGATGTTGAAATCAGAGCCATCTGACTGCATATCAATGTCATCATCCATGAGAGCAACGTCCAGCTCATCTCCAAAGTGTCTTCTCGTGTGACGATGGCCATGCCGAGAGCCTTGGTAGTGGAAATGAGGCTGTTGCTGTTGCTGTTGCTGTTGCTGCTGTGGTAGTGGCGCTGGAGCCTGTAGAGAAGAGGCCGACGAGGCCACGGAGTTCTCGTTATCACTGTCCATCTTGACAGTACTCCCTCGTTGTTTTATACGTTTGCAGTGGGCCTCCGACTACCAGATTTCGTTCAATATCCAACACAGGTCCAAAGTGTGAGCAACAGTCCTGCCCAGCTCGGTCAACACCAGCTCAAATCAGCCCCAGAAACAAGGATCGTACAGTCCTTCAGGCTCGTTAGAATACTCTCAAAGACTTCAACCTAACCAAGACGCTCTCTTCCGATCGATACACAGGGTACACGGTGATGGAAGCAAGGCAACAATAGGCAAAATCAACGTCAAACTGATAACCAGCGGATTCCTGTTGACTCTCTGGCTCAGTTACAGTCTCAATTCACTACCAACAGGGGGGTGAATAGCCAATTGGTTAACGATAAACAAAGGGGAAGCTCTTGGAGAAGTTGTCTTGTGGTTTTTCGCCTAGGGAAATTCCACCTTGGAGATGTGGGTGTGCGGGTTAATAGGTGTGCGGGTTAATAGGTGTGCGGATGTATCGGTGTCCAGGTGTTTGGGTGTCCAGGTGTTTTCCTTTTGTGGCAGTTTCGTTGTTTTGTTTTGTTTTTTTTGGATGTGTTGATGTTTCCAAACTTCAACAAATAAACAAACATCCAAACAAAGCTCAACAGACAGTTTCACTCAGCCAATGCCAGGTATGAAGCGCCAATTCTGCTTGCTTGCCACGGGGCTGAAGCGCCAGCAACAGACACAGGGAGCTGTGGCCCTGGAAAGCAGCTTACAATCTAAACTCCACTAACACTTATCGCATACAGTGAAGAGCCTTGAGCCGTTTGTATTTGAACGAGCACTGACCCAAACGCTGCCCTTTGAGTCGCTCAGAGGGGCGCGTGTTGGTATCGATGTTAGCCACTATGTGTCGCGGTTGATGGGGTTCAAGCGGGAGGCGCTGTTGGACGCCACTGGCGGGTTCCCGCTGTCGCTGTTCCAGTACATTGAGAGTGACTGTGTGGTGTTTAAGGACTTTGACATCACGCCTGTTTTCGTGATGAGCGGGTTCGACTGCGTGAACATGTATAGGGAGAAGTTCTCTGTTAAGTCGTCGACGGTGGAGAGACAAAGAAACCGGAGCTGGATAAGCTATGGCTCCCAGTTGAAGCAGCACTATGGGGAGAACCCACAGGGGTTGCCATTGACGTGCAACGAGTCCTTCAAGGACTTTGGCACACAGTTCTCTGCGGACAACTTTGTGTCTGATTTGGTTCAGTTCTTCATCGCTAACGGCTTGGAGTACATTAGGGCTCCTTATCTGTCGTGGGCCCAGTTGGGTTATTTGTACGAACAGGACTTTATACACGCCATCTATGGCCCTACAGAAACTTCTCTCTTGCCGAACGTTGATAAGTACATCATCGCCATGGACTTTGGTAATAAAGACTTGAGATTTATCGATAGAGGTAGGTTTCTATCTGAGTTGGACCTGAACCAACAACAGTTGGTGGATATTGCAATGTCAGTCGGCTGCGATTTGCAGCCCCAAACCTTGGATATGTATTTGAGCTATCCTCAGAGCGATTATATTAACGTTGCCCTGTCAATTGTCAACTCCAACGGTAATCTCTTCAGTTCGGTGGCTCAACTACCTCAGGAACAAGTGGAATCTTTCCAAAAAGGTGTCATTGGACTACAGTATTTACCAGTGTTGAAGACAAACGGCAGAGTGGAAATATGGAACTTTGACGAGAGAAACATTGACAACCGCTCTTCAAGTTCTGAATTGCCACCTGAAGGCTTGCATGAGATATTCTCTGTTAGAGTGCCCCAAGAGTACTACTTCTACCAATCCATCGCGTTGAACAATACAAAGTTGTTACAATCAATTGCTAATGAAACATACGTTGAAAAGTTGCCATTGGAAGGTGTCACTCTAAAGGAGTACAAGGACTTGATTGCTGCCATGTTACCGATCAAGGCTAAGGAGGTTAACCTCTTGACTAAGAATATGAACCGTTACTTCCAGTTCAAAACGGTCAAATATACAACTTTTTGGGGCGAATCTATGGACATCCCTCATAAACCAACACAAAACGTTTTCCACTCATTACAGAGTATAACTTTGAGATCAGACAATTTCCAGGAGTTCAACTTGAAGAACTTCTTCAAGTGTTTGACCAATGAACCGTTGCTATCTGACGTTGTCCCAGATGAATCCCACTTGTTGTCTTCACATTTTGAAATCTTGTCGACGGCGTTGCTTCGTACTTTGAACATCTTTGAAATTTACTCGACGAAGTCCTCAAACAACTCAAAGGCTTTGTCAATCTTGCAGACGCTCGATGAGAGGTTCCAAGAAGAATACATCTTGTTGTTGGCTTATTTGAAACTTTCTAGTCAAAAGTTGTACGAACCTCTAAGTCAGCAACTCGCTGGAGACTCAATAACGGCTGATAAATCTCAGAAGCAGGTTGTGTTGCTCATATCACGTTTAGCATCCTTGATCCAGGTACTTCCAAAGAAGAGAATAAACTATTCTGGTCCGGTGTCGAGATCGTTATTGGCCTTTAGATCATCAATGGATTTGATCAAGAGAAACATGAGAGAACTGTTTGAAACGGTATTGGTTTCTTCATTCACAGGTAATGAGGCAGATAAAGTGGAACGTTCCAACGAAGATTGGATTGAATTAGTCTCCGAGATGCCATTCGGTAAAACTGTTCCAAGTACTATAGTTGGTATCGCAGTTCAAACGCTGCTAGATCAATATTTCGTCAGTTCTTCGAAGACTGGAGATTTCAACACTGCCAAGAGCTTGACATATAACTTGTTTGAGATTACTGGAGTGGAGAATCTACCTGCTCAGGTTGGACGGGCATTTGAATTCGTCAGAGAAGCCTATAAATTGGTCAAAGCATTGGAACAAGATGGTAAAACAGACCCACACCTTATCAATGTATTTGAAACGGCTGACGATATGGCAAAGAAATTCCTGGGCCAGTAAAACCTGAAAGACAAGTATCGTTCAAGGTCAGTGATACAAGTATAAATTCAAAAACAAAGTGTTGATGTACGTAAAATTATAATATAATTAGGTTGAAGGAGATCTTGACGTCCACTAAATCCATGAACTTGTTACAGTAATTGATGTGAGTTCACTTCATTCCTAGTTCACTGCGTTATACTCTGATTTGTTCACCGTGCCATTGTTGCTAACTGAGTCGAAGTGATCACCCTCAGGCTGTTGAATAAAGCTATCAAAATCATACCTTGTACTCTCTTGAACAAACTGCTGTAGTAGTGGGTTCTCCGTGTGCTGTAAAGATCCCTGTATATGTTGTAGTTGCAGTTGTTGATGTTGTTGTTGTTGTTGCTGATGATGTTGCTGTAATTGTTGTTGCTCGTCAGGTGAGAAATTCAAAGGTGTCAATGGGAATCCGCCTGGTGAAGTTGAGTTTGGTCGCGTAGGTAGATCAAACTGTGCTCTTTGAATATTTGAACTGTTATAATCCAAGATGTAAGAACTCATGAATTTCAGAGATTGTTCTAAGCCCGTTAAAGCATGTGGGATACCTGTTCCTCCAATGAAGGCATCATTGACCTGATGTCCCTCAGAAAAATCCTCACAAATCGACCACTGGTTGTTCTGTGTGATGTAATGAGAGAAAGAGACGGCAAACTTTGGTGGTCTATTTAACCATAGCTTCAGCTCGCAGGATTGATCCTTGCCATCTTCATCTGGAACAAACGATATGGAACAGTTATTCACAGAAGAAATTGGGAAGAAGATTCTGAACAGTATCTTCGAATTATCAGTTATTGCACTGAAGAAATAGTTGATCTCAAAGTTCTTCTTAGAGATTAGAACCATGAGATCGGTTGAGTTGTGCATGATTTCGTTAATAGACTGTGGAGATAGATTTGACAAGTTCTTAACATTAAAGATATTCTCATTGGAGAGATTTCCACTTTTCAACCTCTTCCAACTCCCAACTGTTAGACTCTTGCAATCGATAAAGAAATAGTTATTGTTGAGGTTCAAAGGAATGTTATCATATCTGGAGAACCCAAAAGATGCTCCAAATGTGTAAGGATCATCCTTTTCGGTGGCTGCTGCTTTCTCCATTTTCCTCGATTTCGCTCTTCTATTCTGAAACCATATCCTTACACTGCGCTCAGGCATTCCGGTCTGATCACTAATTTTCTTCCTCATTTCAGCATTTGGATTTGGATTTTGGTTGAACTCGTTGATGAGCAACGCTAACACCTCTCCACTTGCACGGGTACGTTTATGACCAGACTCGTTCTTTAACGTCTGTTGCGAGCTTTTCCCTCCAATCTGTAGATCTTGTTGGCTATGAGATGTCGATGGAGTTATTTCCTGCAATGGATCATATTCCTGCTGTAATTGGTCGTTCACTTTGGAACTCTGGATAAAATCTTGATACTCTGTATCCATCTGTGGTAAATTTGGAGACTCTTTATGGCTCTCGTCAACTGAATGTGCAAATTCGGGCTTTCCAAGGTTTGCATGGACGTCTGGACCCTTATTTATGAGTTCAAATTCCTGCTCAACGTTAAATTCGTTATTCTGTAGTTCCGCACCAAGTAAGAAGCTATCGTCCAGTTCGGTTTTGAACAGCATATCATTCTGGCCTTGAAATGTGAAGTCATCCATCTTGGATCTATAACCTGTTTCACAGCGAATAACCTCTGGTGATATGAAAAGCTGTAATTGGGGAGTATCACTCAGCTATTTCCTCCCTTATTAGTTAGCACAGCCCCCGGTTCCCTCTCCACCTTCAGTTTGATGAGATACCACCAACACAAAGGGAAGATCTTAGCGTAGACACAACACAGACACAAGTATGAAACAGCAAAAGAGAGACAGATGAGGGCAGTCGGTATTAACAAGCGCTTCCCTAATCAGTATATCCCCCAGACAGGCTTATTGGTATCGGATCCAGCTTCAAAAAACTTCCCACACAACAGGTGAAAGCAACAGATCCCTGCTTCAAACGTCTTGACAAGTAAAATGGGTCTTTTAGAGATCTTTAGGCTCAACCTTCAGACCCATTACATAATTTTTTTTTCTCTTCCTTCTTCCTTTTCTTTCTTTTTTCCCCTTCTCGGCTGAGGGTGTTTTTGAGAGTTTTGGCCCCTCATAGAAAAAGCGGAAAATTACCTGATCCGGATAAAACGCAACCGCAAGAGCGGAAAAACTTTGCATGAAAGTGTATTCCACTGGTTGTCAAGACAACGGTAACAACAGCAACGGTAATAACAGTGATAGCAAAGAGTGAACTAACAACTGGGGGGGGGGGTATCAGCTAGTAGTATATATACATCACATATATACATCTGAGTAGTAACAGTATAAAACAATGAAAGAGGCACGGTGGAGGATAAGCAAAGGAATTCACACATGAGCAGTAAAGCAAGCTTATATACACCAGATAAGGTGGAGAAATACCTGTGGCTCACGCTAGATCGAACCCTGCTTCTGCGTTGATAGCATAGAGCAGTTTTTCCTTGAGAACTTGCTTGTTTCTATAGTTTGGGAGTCTCAGAAGATTGACACATGTTGAAGATGTTGGGAGCCTATCAATGTCGGATCCGGTATTTCTGATACCGAAATTAGGAACCAGTGCCTTGAAGCCAAGTAAGGGCGCTCTAGGAACAGAAGTGACAAACTTCACAAATTGGAACCGGTCTGCACTTGTCATCTCTGCAACAATCTCCCATAGATCCTGGATTGTTTGGTCGCTTTCAGAATATCCACCGTAGACGCAGTTCTCCTTCAGATCTTCGATGTTAACATCTGTCTCACCTGATATCAACATCTGAAGCTCATATGGGTTGAACATTGCAAGCCATTCCTTGGATATCATCTCATAAAGACCATTTAGAAATGAGTTGCACTGTAGAGATACCGTCTTGTTCAGCTTATAGTTTGAAACCTCATGTATGAACTTAAGTCTGTTGGCACTGGTGACGCTAATAGTTGATCCTTTTGGTATCAAGTCAAAGGTGATGTGCCTGTCATGAACGAGTTCATCAAGGCTGAATGTCAACCCTAAATTTGATAGCTCGTCATCGGTTAACGATAACAATTTGGTCAAATTTGAATACAACTCTGAATCTAAACTTTCCAAATCATCAAAGGATGTCTTATATCCACTGTTGAACTTTGTGAGGAAGAAATTTGCAAATGCAACATCAACAAGGACTCTATCATAGAGACATTTCCCCAGGACTTTACCCATAAAGTTCAAATAACTCAAATGCTCCAACTGTTTGGAACTGTCGATTCTGTTACGATATCTCAACCCGATCTGAGGATTCGGATATAGTTCATGGTGGTCGTTCTCCACAAACAGAGGTTCTCGAAAGCCTTCCCGTACAACACTTGTTAGAAACTCCTTTGTAATACCACCACCGTCGATACCTTCTTCTCTACCATACTGATTGACAAATTCAATGCCGAGTTTTGTTTTAAATTGTTCACCCAATTTCCCAAAATTTTCGAATGCATCATCCAATAAATGTTCTCTTCTTATAGTGGCCGTGTATCTTCTATCAATGAAGCCAGCAAAGAAGTTTAGATTACTATCACCTATTCCCAATCTAGCCTTATCCATTTCAACCAAACCTTGGAAAATCTCCACACGGCTATCGAAAGAGATGAAAAACGGGACTTTTTGATAGATTTCGAACCTTGCCTGTGTATCTTTGTTCAAAGATTCCAAGAATTGTTCGCCTTCTCCATCAGAATAGTTTGTGAAATCGTTCTTTTTCTCCTCGTATTGAGATATAACAGTTGTGATATTTCCTAATTTCAGTCTTGAAGGATCAATTAGCCAAGCATCCTTCGCCATAATCTTTAACCTCGCATCTTTGAGGTAAACCTGGGACAGTACTTTCATGACCAGATCAGAGAGCATGTCGGCTTTCTTTGAGGGAGAAACAACGCTTTTAATACTTGCACGATTCCATATCAGATTGAAAACAAACTTCTTCAAAAACATCGCAATTGCAAGGAAATTCTCCCTTGTAAAATCGTGATGTAGCAGTATCTCACGATCATTTGATATGATCAATTTGTATTGTAGTAGCTCCAAGAAAACAAATAAATCGTGGTGTAAAAAATCCAAGTTATCTTTAAAAACTTCGTTGATGAAGTCTTGGGAAACTGAAAAGAGGGCGCTTTCATCCATATCAGTGAAGACCTCAAAGACTCGGTGTGCCAATACCTGTTTCAGCAATGGTTCAAACCCTGTTGGTATCAAATAGATCATTAGTGACGACTTCAATCTTGGTTTCAAAACAACCAATGAACCTAATAGTCTAGTTAGCTGATTAGTATCCTGTAGCCGCTCAGATGCCAGTACAACCATATCTCTGGTGTATAAGGTCTCGATGATTTCATTACTATGATTGTCTATAGTCTTTTGCTTATACTTGATCTCCTGTTGCTCTTGATCCGATTCGTAATCGTCGTCTAATTCTGAAGCTGTGACTAAGGAAACGTCAAACGATGATACAATCCATGATAATGCAGTGAAGAACCAAGTTGAGCTGTCATCAGCTTTCAAAATCACGTTGATGAGTAGTTGTAACTTGTGGTCCGTATCGAGCTTCACCTCCTGTTTCGAGAGTTGCTCTGATAGTGCGATGAAGTTGATACCAAACGAGTGTAAATCGCCAACAAAATCGTTTAACAGGAACTTGAGATATTCACTTGGTTCATCGGCTGAAATCTTGTTGATAAGATCCGTCACATGTGACAATACTGAAAGGCCTGGTGTAGGAACAAGTCTTGAGGCAAACTTTGTCAGAGTTGGTATCAGAATGACATCATGACACGCTACTGGGATGATCAAGTCCACAACGTATAGCACACCCTGTGCTACCTCCAGGTCGTCAGAGGATGAAATGTCTATATTCGGTATCACGTCCCGGCAAGTCGAGAGCAATCGTTTTTGATTTACTTCTGATAGTTCAGTGTAGCCCAACGACAGCTTGGACATCAACAGCTCGAGTTGGTCCTTTCTCCTTGGATTGTGACCGAAAGTATCGCTGTAGAATATCGTGAACCAGTACACCACCCTGTTGATGTCCAGCGCTTCGATACTCCTCTCATCCCACTGGTTACAAAGCTGGTACCTTGTGTCCATGAGACGGCAACGTCTGACAACGGCTCTCTTCACAACACCAGCAGCCCTTTCCCTGCCTCGTTCCCGCTCACGCTTCTCACGCTCTCTCTGCGTCTGCTGAAGAAGAGAGCTTCTGCTCTGCTTAAATCCGCCGCCAATGTTAACGGTCCTCTTCTTGAGTTGTCCGGTGAAGTTCATCATCTCGTCAGACCTGCAACAGTGGCGCTTATCTTCAACTTGTATGACGGCAAGCTCCTCTCAGCCAATAAACGGGCCACTTGCAGTACACTTTCTGGTACCGTTCTGATGCTTAAGACCAGTACAATCAAGCGCTGTTTCCAGAATTCAGCTTATCCCGCCTCTTCGTACCAACCGCGCTATATCTGGTCCATTTGTTTACATCGCCACACACAATGCTCCTGCGCAAGCGGTCTAAAGGCCTGTGTGTCCTCTGCCCAATTCTGAAGGGGGAACGGGGGCGTACGGGCAGGGCAGCGGGTTTTTGTGCGTGTGCGCTCTCTGTTTGTTTCCACAAGGGGAAACCCCCTGGGCTGAACTGCGGGCCGAGAGGCCGTGAGACACAACCTCAGAAGCGAGCTGGAACGAGAATTCGTGTGAAAGAGTCTCTTCAGCTTGTCTGTTTGGTGTACTTTGTTGATTTCTATTGCAGAGGTTGTCTGAGAAGAGCTGAGCAGGCTGGGTTCAAGAGAGCTAGAGGTTAATTTGGAGAGGGTTGTGAGGGTTCTTGTGAGTGAGATATTATCCCTACCCCAGGAAGCGTTGTACCGGTATTATACACAAGAGGTATTAGGAAGAGGTACTAGGAAGAGGTACTAGGCAGAGACACTAGGCAGAGGCTCAAGGAATAGACACTAGGCAGAGACACTAGGCAGAGGCACTAGGCAGAGACACTAGGCAGAGGCACTAGGCAGAGGTAGAGGAATACGCGCAAGGAATCCGCCCAGGGAACGAGTACAAGGAAGTATTACAAGGAACAGGCACAAGCAACAATGCCCAAGATCCTCTTTACCACGGCGCTACTCTTACGAGCGTGCCATGGACTCCCCGTGGGCTTGCACGAGAATGGAAACGGAGAGTACACCTCTGATGGGGATGTGTTTGCACTGGTGATGGTTCTCGTCTCGCTGGTGCTATCAGCACTCATGGGACTGGCCGTTGTCGGCCTCGTGGTGTTCACCATCGTCAAGACGTGGAAGGACAAGAAGTCTGTGAAGTTGGAGACTATGGTGCCGGGTCAGTTGGACGACGAGTTCGAAATCGAAGAGAGGCTAAGGGACCTCTCGCCCAACGAGCAAAACTTGTACCGATCCGGTCAGGATTACATTAAACAATACCCTCCTTTCAACGAGGAACTTTCGCTTTCAACACATATGGCCATACAGGAGAAGGGTGTGCAGGCTTGGGAATTCATTCCAGATCCAAGCTTGCCCAACGATGCGATCGTTGTGCAGGACAGAACTGAACTACACTTCACAAGCTTTGATTACCAGTGCTCCATCCAGACAAATCTACCGATACCGAAGATCAACGATGTCTATTACTATGAAGTAAAGATGTACCAGTTGGACTCACCGGAGGATACGTTGGTGTCGTTGGGCCTCTCTACAAAGCCATATCCTTATTTTAGACTTCCAGGAAGACACCTCTACTCGGTTGCTTATGACTCTAACGGCACGAGACGTGTGAACAACAGCTTTAAGCTTAGCGATAACGAGCTCGATGTGTTCCCAAAGTTGAAATATGGCGACGTTATTGGTGTTGGTTACAGGGTTCGTTCAGGAACGATCTTCTTCACCAGAAATGGTAAGAAAGTTAGTGAAAAGTCTCTTGGTGGACACATCAAGGGAATGCGTATGAATAACATCTTCCCAACGATTGGTTCCAATAACCCTTGTGTTCTCCATGTGAACTTGGGCCAAGCCGGCTATGTATTCATTGAGGCGAACATCAAGAAATGGGGGTATGGCTCAAGAGAAGGGTCTAGACCCCCTCTACCGGAGTACAACACGAGTAGCCAGGACCTACTCTTGGAATCTTCCAACGAGGACGATGAAGATATCATTGATCCTCCAGACTTCTTTGCAAATACTGGATATGAGAGCTCATCTACCAGTTTACAGAACTCTGCTAAAGATATTATCACTTTGAACACTTTACCACCTGATGAGCCTCCCGTGTACGATGACGAGGATCCAAATGCTGTGATGTCGTTGCAGAGAATCACGGAACATAATCAGTTTTTAAACGACGATGATGACCATGGGTATGATGGAGATCACCCTGATGATGTGTATGAAGAAGAAGACGATGATGATGATATACGGCGTACGGTTTACGAGGCCAGAATCGCCACAGAGCTGAGGGAAACGTCAATCTCACCGGACGATTCTGACGTTAATGTTCATCTTTAGATATGCAATGGGAAGGAAGTGTGAAAATTAAACGGTACAACATACAGCATGATATATATTAGAGAAGAGCAAGGAAATTGCAAGGTATTTGGTATTTGGTATTTGGTATAACAATATTGAGACATGTGCTTACGTCAACTGTTCCATGTTTCATCTGTCTATTGTTCTTTTCATTTATAACCTGTGTCATGGGCTTGTTGAACTGTAGTGATATTCCTCCAGAACCATCCAAATGGTCTGTATAGATGAATTGTAAGCACGAGTACCTTAATATCAACAATACAAACCGGTGATGTGTGTCTCCATACTGTTCCAGACGGCCCAGCCTTTACAACACAGAAATAGAGAGTACATATACAACTACGGTTACATAACCAACCCTGATGGTGGCATTAGCCATTGACATCTCGTTAACAACTTGTTACATAGAACTGAATGCAAATAGCCTGAGAAACACGCGTAAAAGCACACGCGTAAAACGTAATGAAAGGACGCGTCAGTGGGAGCGTGCGACAAATTCGCGCTTTTACCGGTTTGGGCAGCATTTTGTTACGAGGCACAAAATGTAAACAATCCACAAAGGCAAAGGGCAAAATTCAACTACAATCACAAACTTCAACATCGGATACTACGAAAGACCAAAGCTGCTGCTTGAATCAAACACTGTTATCGCTATGGCGAAAAGACGTACAGATGCTGTACCGTCGTCTCCTAGCAGACAAGTTGGGAAGAAGAAGATGGAGGACGAGGGCCTGGAGGAGGATGGTGACGAAGTTAGACGTGAGAAGCCTCAGAAGAAGAAGAAAAGAATAGTGTACCAGTTTGGGCCGCCAAAGTCCGCTGTTGGCGCTACATCAACACCGTTAAAGATGGTCAAGATCGATGTGAACTGTGCGGAGAAGAAGCGTGATGAAGAGGAGCTTGCTATGACGCCGCCAAAAGTAGTGAACGACTCTCTTTTGATGCCTGGATGCGACGATTCGGGAAGCTCTCATGAGGATAGAATTTATTGGGTGCCGACGCCTCAGAAGCATAGAACACCACAGAAGCCACCGTCATCGCCCTTTGAAGACGTGAAAAACTTGCACATCTCACCAGTGAACCCACTGGCAGAAATCTCCCGTATGTGTGGAGGTTCTTTGCCCTATGAGAATTTGGCCTTGACACAGACATCACCAAAAAAAGCGTTCCAGAGGAAGACCCCATCTGTCGCTAATAAGAGTGAAAGTTTTCCTCCAACTTTCAAATCGAGAAAGACCACTGAGCCAAGAAGACCACTATGGAAGGCTGCAATGTCATTCAACACTCCGGTCACAGAGAACACCATCAAGAGTCGAGACGTTGCGGCGTTGATATCCACGGTGGAGAACGCTGTTAGTGCTGCCTCGAGGGCTAAAAGCGGCAATACCAACTGGGCTGTTGAAGATACACCTTCAAAACCCATGGATGTTGTTAGGGCTGGTAATGATGCACCCCAAATTAAAACTGAAATAACTGAACAAATACAGAGTCGAAGCAAGGGTCAGGATCAAGATCCTGAGGATTTCGACAATTCAAGTGATGTATTTGCAGATGATTTCAGCGAGGACTTTATGAACGATTTGGATGCTGCTCTTGCAAGACCTTCGCAGGTACATTTGTCGAATCCTACAAAAGCGGGACAGAAGAACTCTATAGATTCAGTTCAGGAACCTCCAGCTAACTTTAGTCAAGAGGATGATGACTTTGGAACCTTTGATTCTGATGACGATGACATGCTGGATAGTCTCTTATTGGCAAAAACACAAGTCCAGCCAAAAACAAAGGTGGAAATTTTAAATACTCAACAAAGAGTTATAGAGACAGCTGATAGAGAAGGCTCAATGGTCTTCAAAAGGAACATTGAAGACACCGATAACAATGTCGATATCTTCAAAAAGGAAGATGTGAACTTGGCCAAGTCGGCAGTTGAAAGGGATGGAATCAAGAGATTCGAGGTAATGAACGTTATGAACACATTTTATGTTGTTAAGGGAGGTATGAAGAAACCACAGAAGCTTTTAACAGTACGAGATTCGAAAGGCGAATCTCATAAGATCTTTGTCAGAGATATGTGGGAAACTTTAGACATTCAGCCGAGGGATGTTATTCATATTGTTGGTGAAAACTCCAGAATAGTAGATGCCAACTCGCATAACTTATTGGTTTGGAATCCTGACATTTTACTTTCTGCAACTTTGGTAAGTGATACAATTAGCTGTGATAGAAGGTCTGTTCTTAAAACCAAGTTGGACTTTCCTGGTGAGTACAATGTCTTCCTACTTGTTGGTGAAATCGTTCACTGTGTCTTCCAATACGTTTTAAAAGAGCATTTCTGCTCAATGGAGCTCATGCAGCAGGAGATGGAAAGACAGCTACAAGATAACATGCTAACCATTCTTACCATTGGCGAAACTACTGCTTCAGTACGTGCTCAAGTGATGGAACATTTGCCTTATATCAATACCTGGTTTGAACTTTACGTCAAGGAAAGGCCATCAAGTTCAGCGTCAATCAAGATCAACAAATACAAAGAACGTACGTTGTTTGCAACGAGTAATATCATTGACATTGAAGAGAACATTTGGTCACCAGCATATGGTTTGAGAGGTCTGATTGACGTCACCATCGAGGCCTTTTTAGATAACCAAAACACTAAGGGTAAGTTTGTTGCACCAATGGAATTAAAATCTGGTGGAAGAGCTCTGGTATCACATAAGGCACAGGCTGCTCTATACACCCTTTTGATGAAAGACAGATATGAAATGGATGTCCAATTCTTCATGCTGGTCTATACTAAACTCAAGGAAACTACAAAACACGAAATCGACCAAAGGGAGTTGAAAGACTTGATGATGTTGAGAAATCGTCTATCCAAATATCTCCGGGAAGGAACATCTGAGCTTCCTGAAATCAAACGTCAAAGTCAATGCGATAGATGTTATGCAGTTGAAGGTTGTATGACCATAAACAAGCTTACTGAATCTGGTACTGATGAGCTCAGTGGTCTTCCCAATGGTATGTTTGATAATATGACAGGCCATCTAGATAACCCTAAGTATAAGGAATTCTATCATAAGTGGGATGACCTCGTCACGAAGGAAGAAGGTACGATCAACTTGTTGAAAAAGGACTTGTTTGCCGTTGACGGGGAAACGCGTGAAAAGACTTCTGGTAAATGTCTTTCGAACCTCGTTATCGACAACTTTGAAGATGACACAAACGATGAGAATGATTGTTATATTTACACGTTCAAGAGGAAGATGGATGGGTTATCTCCTTTGAACTTGTCGCAGTTGGCTAAACATGATCGTATCATCGTCAGTGATGAAGCTGGTCATTTTGGTCTATGCTTTGGCTTCATCAAATATCTCCGAGAAGATGCCATCAGCATATCAACCAATAGAAGACTTCGTAACAATGTTGTGAAATCTAAGGGTTTCAATATTGAAAATAATCAGACATTTCAAACCGTCTTGAGGCCATTGCAAGACTCTCAGGGAATCAATCCGGAGATTACATTTAGAATTGATAAAGATGAAATGTTTCACGGTATGAGATTGGCAAGGTACAATATTCTTAACCTCTTCCTAAAGGATGGTGACTCCAGGAGAAGAGAGCTTATTGTTGATGATGTCGCTCCAAGATTCGAACAGCAACCTCTACCGTTCACATTAGAACAAGGCCATACCTTCAATGAAGACCAAATAAAAGCATTTGAAAAGGTTCTTTCTACAAAAGATTACAGTCTCTTGTTAGGTATGCCTGGTACTGGAAAGACTACAGTTATTGCTCAGTTGATCAAGTTTTTGGTCAAAAACAAAAAGACTGTGTTATTAACCGCATACACACATTCTGCAGTTGATAACATTTTGATGAAGATTAAGGGAGAGGACTTTGGAGTTGTCAGACTAGGTAATTTGTCTCGTGTTCATAAGGAGACACAAGTGTTTTCCCCTTACAAAAAGGAGGTAAAGACTGCTAAGGACCTCCAAGAGGTGTTCCTCGATCCTCCAGTGGTTGCAACTACATGTTTAGGCATCAGTGAATGGATCTTCAACAGAAGGAAATTCGACTATTGCATTGTGGATGAATCTTCTCAGGTCTCCATGCCAGTGTGTCTTGGGCCTCTGAGATTTTGTGACAAATTTGTTCTTGTTGGAGATCACTTCCAGCTACCACCTTTGGTTCAGAATCTGGAAGCCAAGGCTGGTTTATCAAAGTCTTTGTTCAAGATTCTAAGCGAGAGACACCCTGAGTCAGTTGTTGATTTAACTCATCAGTACAGGATGTGCTCGGATATAATGTTGTTATCAAACACCCTCATATATGAAGGTCGTCTCAAATGCGGATCAGAAATGGTTGCCAATCTGTCTCTCAAAATTCCTTTCATTGAGAAGCTTATAACCACCTTTCCTGATGGTCTCAGCCCAGCCCAACGATGGCTTGACACAGTCCTTGACTCAAACAACAGGGTTCTATTCTTGAACCATGATGAGGTTGGTGGATGCCAGGAAACAAGCTCCAAGGAGAACATTGAAAACCCCAAAGAAGCTGAGTTAGTGTTCCAGATAGTTGAGGCAATGATCCTGTGTGGTGTTCCTGAAAAGAGCATAGGTATTATGTCCTTCTACCGTGCACAGCTCCGTCTATTCTATAGAAAGTTTTCAGCTAGAAAAGACGTGGAGATGTTGACAGCCGATCAGTTCCAAGGTCGTGATAAAGACTGTGTCATTATTTCTCTAGTGAAATCAAACAACAACAACAACATTGGAAGTTTGTTGAAAGAATGGAGAAGGGTCAACGTGGCAATTACGCGGGCTAAGTCAAAACTAATCATCATTGGCTCCAAACGCACGTTGAAGAACTTGAGCACTCTTGATGCCTTTATGAAAATATTAGATTCCAGAGGATGGTTCTACGACCTTCCACCAAAAGCAGACACTTTTTACACTTTCAAAACACCGTCAACTAAACATGGCGATGTCACAATCTCACCAGTGAAGAAGATGAAGGACTCCAGAGTCGTTCAGAGTAAACCACTTGCAAGAGAGATTGCAGAAGAGATGGACCTCTAACTTCTACATATTACAGTGCATTTGAATATTTATTTACAGCATCCATACGTACGAAAAAAAAAATGATAATAATGATCAACTACCGTAGGCCCATTCAACATTGTACAGATAGCCTGCTATCCACTGACTCATTCCAGATCTTTTAGTCTTCTTTCAATGATTGCATCCACATTCTCAGCAGATTCAGCTGGTAAAAATCTCAACTTTTTCCCAATTTTCTGTACAGTGGAGTCTTTCAACCTTCTTTTTATGATCTTACCACTTGGTAAGATCTCCGTCTCAAACTCTTCATCATCATCCATGGATGACACTTTTTGAGCTGACGATGGTGACCCAGGTGGAAGCTCTGTAGGAGATGCAACGGTGTTCTTTCTTCTTCTGTGTATTACTTTCTTTACCGTGGATTGATCTTTATCCCATTTCCATCCTTGTGCCATCTGATCATAAGCTGCAAGTTCGATGGTTCTTCTGACGTCAGTGTTCTTTTCCAAAATTTGGAACTCATCAACCTCATTTGGGAAAATCCAGTATCGTAACATCTTCAAGAAGAAGTTATACATCAATGGCATAGAGACGAGAATCAGAAGAGCAGCCCAAAATGTGATATCTTTTCCAAATTTCCAATAAAGACCACGTTTGACGTCATAGATCTTACTAGTATCATAGCCGTAGAGACCTGGTAGTATACAACACCACAAAAGCCAACCCAGGCACGATATAGCAATAGAAGCAAAGTTCATCCAAGTTCTATCATGCTGCTCAAAGAGTTGTAACTTAATGTTGATGGTAAACACAATAGCTGTGAAAGTCAATACACCAACAGGGTATAGAGAGTTGTCATATGTTACATAGAATCCCCAGAGGTACCAACTTGAGAAACAAATCAACAAAGAAATTGTTGTGGCAATGAACATCCAGCTCAGGAAGATCTTCAAGTTGAAAGCCTGGTTCAATCTTCCCATTGAATACAACTCAGGTGCTGCCAAAAGCGTTGCCGGTTTTAAGTCTTTCTCAAACATACCGATACAGAGAACACAGAGAGATGTGAACAGAGTGTTGAACATCGAAAGAGACCACGGTTCGTATAGAGATGTTCCCGTGAACATTGCATTTCTTTGGAAAATGGCCTGCGAAAGGTAAAACAGCAACTCTTTGAAGAACGTTGACAAAACAAACTTGGACGTTCTGATGTAGTTATATCTTCCATGAACAAGCAATAGCTTTTGTAGATATCTGAACTGCGCAATGGAGTAATCGGATGATCTTGCAGCCTGGAGACCTTCTTTACCCGTGATACCGATACCAATATCGGCGCTCTGAATCATTGCAATATCATTGGCACCATCTCCGATAGCTAAAGTGACGAGTCTCTTGTTTAGGCTCCTGATGTTAGACACCATCAACGCCTTTTGGGATGGACTTGCTCTGCAACAGATAACGGAGTTTGTCTTGGTACACAACGAGATGAAGATTGACATGAGAGATAAATCAGTTTCAAAGTTTGCCAATGTAGAACCGTCTATGACAACAACACAGTGTGCAACGTTTCCCTTGTCGATCTCGAGCTCAGCTGCCGTCATTTTAGAAGTGAGATCATCGTCTGCGACATCCAAAATAACCACTGTTGAGTAATCCTTGATCAACTTACAAGAATAGCCGATGTTGATAGCAGTTTCTCTCTTATCACCAGTCAACATCCACAATTTGATGCCTGCCCTTCTCAATTTTTCGATTGTATCAGCGACACCATCTTGCAATTTGTCCTCAATGGCAGTTGCACCTAGCAATTCAAAGTTGTTTTCAAGAACACCACCAACCTGCTCTATATTTTGGGCTCTGTTTGTTAATGAAGTCTTTGCACTGGCATAATCTAATGCCCACTGTTCGTATTCAGTCTTTGACAACCACTTATAGCCGAATAACAAAGTTCTCAACCCCTCTGTGGAAAATTGTTCAATGTGTTCCAAGGTCTTTTCAATAACATATTCCTCATTCATAACCATCTTATCGTTGCCGATGTAATCAGAAATCGAAGTGATGTTATACTTCTCTCTATCTCTGATGTGCAACGACTTTCTGGTTTCCATCAGAACCTCGTTGATTTCATCTTGATCCTTTTTGATACTGTGAACGAAATCATCAACGGTTTGGATATGAGCGTTGTTGGAAGAATTGGCGACTGAACTTATTGAAGATCTTGGGAACTGCATGCTCTTCTTGTGCTCCATGGACAGACGTTGTTGTAAGACCACGGAGGCTTCATTTGCCTTTCTGATACTAGCTGATCTGTAGACATCTTGTTGCTTGGAATGGACTAAATCCATGTTGTTTAACCTCTCCAGGATGATGTTGTCTGCACCTTTACATATCATACAGATACGACCGTCTGGGAACTTAACAACAATTGACATTCTCTTTCTTGCTGAAGTGAACTCAACAACGTTCAATACTTCGTACTGTTCATCAACAGGGTCTTCATCCAAACCATTTGGATAGGTTCTGATTGTCAATTTAGTCTGGTTCTTTCCGAAAACGACAAATCCCATGTCCCTGGCAGCAACAACCAATGCCAATTCATCTGGCGAAGACGACTGATACTCAATATCATCAGGGTCGTCTGAGTTTGACTTTGGTAAGCAGGTATGACATAGGGCAAGCGATAAAATGAAGAACTTGGCCTTTTTAGAAAACAGGCTGTTTGGATTAGCCTGTATATGCTGCAATAGTTCTACTGAGGTCTTCAGTGAGTCCACTCTGTTCTCCTTGGGAGATGTCATAGCACTCTTCCCAGTGACTGCGGGAGCTAAACTTGGCCGTCCCGTGTACCTTGTGTTACTTCTTCTGATGTCAATTGAACATCTAGGCGAATGTATCGTTGCACGGTCCACGTCCTGGTCCGATATCTCTTCATCATCTTCTGAAACAACATGAGACCAAGCAGTACCAGCCACTGAGAAGTTTCTAAAGATCATCATGTTATCTGTCAAAGTTCCAGTCTTATCACTGAACACATAACTGACTTGGCCTAATTCTTCCAAGATCGTTGCAGTTCTTGCCTCACACGGAGTGTTTGAAGGTTTATGGTACATATCAATATCCCACTGAAGGAAAAGCATCTGTACAACTTTGATAATTTCCATTGTCACGTAGAGAGAAAGTGGAATCAAGGTGTTGTACATGATGATGAATCCCATAATAGTTGGAGCAACACCAGCCTCTGAATTCAACAAGTACCATGCCCTATCCCAATAACGATTCCTGTAGATTCTCTGTGCCATGAATGAAAACAGCGAAAGGCATAACACGACAAACACCATAAAGACCACAATCAAGTTGATTGATCTCTGTAGCTTTGGAGCTTTCGTTCTTGGGTTCTTGATTGCATTCATTCTAATCTTTGTCTCTTCACCTGTGAAGATGACTAGTCCAACAACGGTCTTGGTATTTCTTATGATTGATCCTCTGTAGATGACATTCTCTGGTCCTAATGCATACTCTGCGCCGTCAAGGCTCAAAACACCTTCAAAGTTGTACAAATCGTTATTTGGATCCTCAACGGTAACCGAGCCTTCGAAATCTTTGAAACCTAAGGCACTATTCATCCGTTCGCATATCTTTCTGTGAGGCACTCTGGCCTTTAGATTCGTTTCACCATCCAAATCCATGGTTTCAATGTAGACTTCGTTTTCATTTTGGCCATCCGATGTTAACAAGATGATATCCGCAGGTACTGCTTCATCCTGGTGTAGCTGAATCAAATCACCCACTTTGATATCTTTCCACTTAGCACTTGTTGCAGCTAACCCAACCGAACGCATGTAATCCCTCTTGGTGAAAGTATTTGGCTGTGATAACATATCGTCACCAACAGTCTCTAGTATACTAGTGCCATGTTCATGGTCATTCGAACTTGTAGAAGACAGGTTGAGATCTCTGTTATAGGACTCGGTGAACACAATCATCTCCGTAGAGTTGTTATTCTCCTTGTTGTCCTGTAGATGTCTTCTCCAATCGTCATAACCTTCTCTCAACATCGAGATTGTAACAAAGATACACAAGGGGATAATGGTCGTATAGGTACCAGTTGTTGACCAAGAAGGGATCATCTGTAATATAGAAACAGTCAAAAAGTACAGGTTTGCAATCTTTGAGAACTGGGCGTAGAGTTGCTTTGGAACAAAACTGTACAATGAATATCTTGCTGATGAGATGACGTTTGAGATGTATGGTTCATTGTAGCGTTCATCCTCCAACAATTCATCGCCATGTTTCTTATGGCGATTGCAAGGGAACTGTGAGCGATCAAAGTCACCAGTCGGTGCAATAGGGATCTTCCGTCCATTGGCTGATTCCCTATACGGTCTGATGTTGAGAACGGTATTCTTCAGATCAGTCAATCTCTGCTGAATGCTGCCTCTTTTACCAGCATAAACCTTGGACGAGGGATTCACGTGTCGTACGCCAACGTTGTCCGCCAAAGCTGAGAGATCACCATCTTCAGTCCCGAGCGTAGTATCCATCTGGTCCAATTCCGCTGAGTACCGGATCTTATCGTCATCTCTTTTCCCTTCCAGCAGATTCACTGTGGATCTGGCACTGACATCCATATTCCTCAGCTCTATGCGTTGATCTGCTGATGAGTTCGCATCAGAGCCTCCAGTATAGTCGGAAACGCCCATCTCCAGGTCGTCGGGCGTAGACGACGACGTCGTCGTACCCTTCGCCGAGTTCTTGAAGAAGAGCTGCGTTCGCAAGGAGTACCCTCTCTTTCTACCACCACCGTCTGGAAATGACATCGTTACACACGGTCACCTGGTGAGCGTCTTCAGTGCAGGGGGATCAAATACAACGTCCCTGAACACTGAAATGGAATGGAAAAAACGTAGCAAAGCAGGACACAGGGGCCAGAGGATCCACACCACCGAGTTATAAAGGGAGAATATCAACAAGGGAGCTTCTTTTTCCCCGTCTCTCGCTGTACGCTATAATCAACAAAGGATCGCTCGCAGAGCGTTCTCGGCAAGTTCCTTCACCACAACCACAACCACAGGGGGAAATTTTCTCTTTGGTCTAAGCAGAGAGTCACACCAGCCAAGCCCGAAACGTTCCCGTCAACCTTGTTAACACACACGGGGGCTCAATTGAAGAAGGGGAATTTGTAGTGATTTACCGGGGACTTTGTTTACGAAGCAGAGTCGAAATGTCCTCTTTGTGGGCTGTGCGAGGTGGGAGAGCCAGTGTGTCGCGTACCGGATGATCTGATGGTGCGCGAACTTGTTTGATTGTTTACATTTTTTGGTTTTTGTGGTTGGCGGCTAATTTTTCGCTTTGTTTACTTTTTATTTAATTTTGTTTACTTCTGTTTACTTTTGTTTACTCCCAAGCACTTTTGCTCACCTTTTGTTTACCCTTTGTTTACTTCAGCTTAGTTCGCTCACTTCGTTCGCTCTTTGCAATGGGAGACCTCGCGGACGATCTGGAGAAGCTGAGCATCTCGCCGAAGAAGAAGCCGCAGAGCTCGTCGTCAATCTTCCTCCAAAAGAAATTCAACTCGCTGAGCAACAACCAGAAGCAGAGGAGCAAGCCGCAGTTCGACAGGCAAAAGTTCTTCTCCGATGAGCCTATAGCGGTCAACGACGACTCATGGAACAAGAATAGACAGTACTTCAACTCCAAGCAGAAGGAGAATCCGTTGGCGGGTGATTCCCCCAGTAAAAAAGCACCATACCACAAGGATGGGCTTCCCACCGGCGCAACGTCGCTAAAGAAGCCTTCTGGCAACGTCATTTTGAACCCTGCCAGTGAGGATCTGAAGGACCATAGAGACGGGATCCAGTTTGTCAAGACAGGGTTTGACAAGTACGCCAAGAGCGACTCTCCATTCAAGGACCCTTATTCCATATTGAACAACAAGTCTATTGAAAGATCTGGCGCGTCGTTCTTGGACAGCCCCGAGTTGTTCAAAGAGGAAAAGGAGATGGTTGATAAGTTGGTGAGTAGCATAGGGAACTCCGTCATGGAGGACGAGATCGCCAAGTTGAAAGAGACTGAATTCGAAGAGAAGGATAGACAGGTTAAAGGATTGACTGTAAACCTCTTGGATCATCAGGTATTGGGTCTAAAGTTCTTGAGGAAACGTGAAAAGGACAAACACATCCATAAAGGTGGTCTGCTATGTGATGATATGGGATTGGGTAAAACTGTACAGATGATCTCTCTAATAGTCAAGAATAAGGCCAAGGAAGACGACCTTGGTAACCTCGCCGATATCGAAAATAAGGAGTTCAAAGTTGTCAATACTGATGTTCCAAAGGTTAAGATTAAGGCCACTTTGGTCATCGCACCAGTCAGCTTGACCACACAGTGGATTCAAGAGATGAAAAGATTTGCACCTCATTTGAAGACTCTGTTATATCATGGACCAAATAGGGCAAAGACATCGTTGGTTGATTATGATGTTGTTGTGTCATCCTACGAAACCATCCGTTCTGATTTTGAGAACAAAGCCTCCCCAATTTACTGCGCCTACTGGCACAGAGTTGTCCTGGATGAGGCTCATATCATCAAAAACGGCAAGACTAAAACAGCAAAGGCAACCTTTAACGTTGAAAGTACAAGAAGATGGGCATTGACCGGTACACCGATTCAAAACTCTGTTAAGGAACTACAATCACTATTGTTATTCTTGAGAGTTTCGGATCTCTCAAATGAAAAGGTATGGAAGGCAACAATGGCTAAACTTATCTCAAAGGAGAAAACACAAGCTTTTGAACTCATCAGGAAAGAGTTGAAAACCATCATGCTTAGAAGAACAAAGGAAATCTTACAACATACAAATTTCAAGCTTCCCGAAAAGACAATTCACAAATGTGAAATCGATTTCAGTAAACGTGAAAGGAAGCTATACTCTGATCTTCATGAACATTTCAAAAACGATTTGATGAATAAACTGAAGGATAAACCTGACGATGATGACTTTGATGAAACCACCGATCTGTTCAAGTCCGTTTCTCCTGTGAAATTAGGTGCTAAGAAGAATGGTAAAAATATCCACATGCAAGCGTTGGTGTTCTTGTTGAGGTTGCGCCAAGTTTGTTGTCATTGGAAGTTGTTGACCAATTTAAAAGAGGACGACCTTGAAGATATCCAGAAGGCAAATGGTGGTGCGAACAGTAATAAGCTGGATCCGATGGCATCTCCTTCCAAGACCCCTGCGCCTTTAGACATGGATAAGGCGTTGGACAATTTGGCTAATATAATGGGCGGGCTGACGGTGGAAGAAACCAAGTGTGAAGTCTGTTTTGTCGAGCCGGTTGAATCTGGCGAAGGTAAGATTTGCAGATCTTGTCTCAAACTACAAGAACATACCAAGAACACTGAAAGCGCCAAAGTACTAAAAGTATTGGATATCTTGAAAAGAGATCCAACGAGGAAAACGATCATATTTTCACAGTTTAGAGAGTTGTTGTTGTTGTTAAAACCTGTTTTGAAGAAGCATGGAATCAAATCCGTTATGTACGACGGTAAACTATCCCTTTCTGAGAAGGATAAGGCATTGGATAAACTAAGAAACGACGACGAAACTAAAGTGTTGTTATGCTCTTTGAAATCCGGTGCGGTCGGTTTAAACTTGACCGTTGCATCCCAAGTGATTCTCTTCGACCCATGGTGGAATCCTCAGATTCAGGAACAGGCAATTGATAGGGTCTACCGTATCGGGCAGACCAAACCTGTTGATGTTTACGTGTTAGCTATCAAGGATACCGTTGAGATCGGAATTCTAGAATTACAGGAGAAGAAACGTGCCATTGCACAAACCGTCATTGGAGGTGATAGCACTGCACAAAGCAAACTAAACACGCTATCTACAGCGGAACTCATGAAGCTATTTGGTGCATACAAGGGATAGATATCTGTTGGTGAAGATTCAATTGTATTATCCTGATTCCCCCCGTCTACCATTCTATTGATACGTAGTTTTCAATCTGTTTCCATTTTGTCTTCATCTTTAACTTCTTCTTCTTCTTTCTTTGGTGCACTGTCATCATCATCATCACCATCATCGTTGTTGTTATCATCATTATCATCCTGATCGTCTCTGGCGTTTCCTAGTGTATCCAACTTATCCAACCACTGTTGCACCTCCTCATCGTCATAGATCTTGAACCCATCCTTCGTGGCGACGGCCACACTGGTGTTCTTCGAGTTCAACTCTTTATCCTGTTGCAGGGTCTCTCTCAACGCCTTCAATCCGTGTACAATCAGCTCCTCGCTTGTCGAAGTCTTGTACTCGTCAAAGTTTCTCTCGAGATATGTTCTACCAGCTTGGGATCTTGCACCAATGGCGCAACCAAAGTACTCCAACGATTGACCCGAAGGTTGGAACTCAAAGAGATGTGCGCCAGTCTCATCGTACCCGACAACTAAGAGACCTACACCATACGGTCTAGAACCGAACCCTTGGGTGTTCTTCTGAGCCTTTGAGGCTAGTAAATCGGCAGCTTTCTCCACGGAGAGCGGTCTGTTGAAGATCATTCTCTGGTTCATCGCCTTTTCACGCAGGAAATTCGACAGGACACGGGCATCTGGTGCAAGGCCCGCAAGAGCTATACCCATATGGTCGTCAATTTGAATAATCTTCTTCTGATACGAAGACAGCTCTTCGGCGTTTCTCTGATTGCTTGTTAGTCTACCGTACATACAGTACCTTGGAAGGGGGAGCCCCTCCACGGGGCTCTATCAACTCACTTTGAGAGCAGCAAGGACAACCGCATCCTTCGTAGCAAGACCAACCACTGCTGAGCCTTGCTTGATAGCTTCGAGAGCGTACTCGACCTGTGTGATTGGAAACCGTTAGTTAGCTGTCCACTGTCTTCAATTTACAATGCTTCACTATGCTTACTTGGAATATTCTTCCCGTTGGTGAGTAGGTCACCGTGTCACCGTCGTAGTTGTTTCTAAACTGCGCCAGCGTTAGTACTCGCTCATCACAGCTTCATCCCAATTGGGTCCCACACTGCTCACTTACCATATTTCAACCTTTGTTTCCCGCCAATTGAATCGATCTTGTATATGAAAGCTGTGTGGTAATTGCCACCATAAAATTCAGCCTACAGTTGACAAAAAAATAACAACAACGCGGAAGAGGAGGTTTTCGCTGGGTGTGCGGGTTAATGAGTGTCCGGGTGTTTATGAGTGTCCGGGTGTTTATGAGTGTCCGGGTGTTTATGTTCGGATGTTTTAATTAAGAATTATAATGATATATTATACAATAGTATATCAGAACGATACTAATAAAAATATCAAAACGGTTTCTAGATGTCCCAAGAGTATACGATCTCTAGACAACTCTCTAGAGATAAAAACAAATACGAGCATGTTATCTTCTATACTTCGAGAGATATAACCATTCATTGGTTTGTATAATATAGTCAAAGAACATATAAACTTGATTACATTAGTTCAACAAAATAAAATAAAGAAAAAGCAGCTTTATCAAAATGTAGAATTAGCCTCTATTGTCCCATATATGATATAATCGTAGTTCCAGGTGTTATATCTATGGTATTAGTGCATGTGATGTATACGAAAAGAACATCTCGCTTGGAACATACTGGAGTGCATTGTAATCAACATCAAGCACATAGTGTGAATATTGATCCAATTGATCAACTATATCCTCCAGTTATGATCCAGATAGTACGTGTAACGAACTTCTTCATGAATGATGAGTTTTAACGACCGGACAATAAAATTATGAGCACTAGCGATGCTGATATTAGTACCAGGAGCCGTAGTGTAACACCTGTGTTCATGTCGCTGCTATTATATCCTGAATAGCTATGCAGTTCTTCACAGCAGACATGTATATGTCTGGGATAGCACACCACGGTCATTTCACTAACACTGTTGACCCATGTGGTGTGGTCCTACACTCCTTACTCGCTCACAGTGATTTATCGATAGTCTCTGCTATAGAGGCTACAAGTGAAGTAACGTCTTCTAATAACCTTTAGACGGTCTTTATACATGTATATATAGTGCCAACTCAAACACGTTAGATCAAACTGTCACCGTTGTTCCATGAATTGTCCCATCCACCGGTAGAAGTGCCTTTCTTCATTGGAATCAGCGAGTCTGCAAAGCCAGGGGGTAGCTTCACCTGCGACTGTGTGTGTACGTGCTGGTGTGGTTGAGTTTGTTGTGGTTGAGTTTGCTGTGTGTTCAGCTGGGCAAAGCTGTTTGTAGTTGCCATTGCTGTGCTCGTCATTGGCTGTTTCCACTCAGTGCTCCAGTCTATGCTAGTGGACTGTGTTGGGTTCTGGGAAGCATAAGGACTGGCTCTGGACTGTGGAGCAGATACGAAAGCTGCAAAGTCTTCATCGTTTGAATTAGAAGGAATAGACGGATTGTTTCGCAAATTCTTAACGACTGGTTGCATGGCTGGGCTGTTGGAGCCAAAGTTCAAGGTCTCAGCGGCCGTAGTGGTCTTCTTTTTGGGGTTCAAGACCATTGGCTCAATCTTAGGTTTGATGTACTCAGGCTGTGAGGATGACGACAGGTTGGATTGCGGTTGTAATGGTACTGCAGACACCTTAGGGGTCTCCGGTTTATTACTAGCAGTCACCGTTGTGTCTTCATTGCCGTACAACAAGTGCCTGAACTTCTCCTGGTCATCCTCATCTTCTCTTGGTTTGCTTCCTTCCAAATGCCTCAATTTCTGGGCATGTGCTGATTGAATTCTCTGTGAAATGTCGTTCAGAACAGTGGTGTAAGAACTGTACGTAGTTGAGTCTAAAGAGGAAGCCATTGACAATAACCAAAGTTGTGGGATCACACTTTCCACGATGTGTTCCTCATCAAGTATATTCGCAGATGATTGATAAACTTTCAAGATCGAATTCATAATCTTCAGTTCACGAGTCTTCATGGACTTCAAGAGAGGCAACAGGGTCTCTTGGACGATGAACTTATCGATCCCCTTCTTGTCAATCAACAGCACAAAAGAGTCAATGGTCTTCACCTTCACTGTGAGAGACGTTGTCTTTGAAAATAGCGTGCAAATCCTTGGGAAGATGTTGTTCTTAATGTTTGGGAAATCCACAGTGTTCAGGATGATATCCATTCTATCAAGCGTCTTTGATTGGACTTGGAAGTTGTTCTGAAGATCCAAAGTTCTTTCTGTTAATTTCAACAACAACTTCTTGAACTCGTCGCTCTTCACCTTCGTTTTCAAGATATGAAGGTACTCCAGTATGACGATCTGGGCCTCCGGCAATTGTAACAGCTTGTCATCGTTCAGCACAGCAAAGACCTTGTCGTGGAACGTCAGCTGCGACAAGTTTTCACCAATGAGAATGATGATGGTCAGCGTGATCTGGACGAGTGATAACTCCCGAGTAGATAAGAGATCAATCATGATCGGCAGGATCTTCTTTTGGAGGATGTTCTTGGGGAAAAGAGGCAATAGATTCACCAGGGATTTCAGAAAGATCAACTTTTCATCATTGGTCTTTGTTGGGAATTCATCCAGGAACACCATCACTTTCACCAATGGGTTGTTGAAGTACTCAGATTGGATGAACTCCTGTGTTGAGATCCTCTGATTCGGGTATCTCGATAGCATCTTCATCATTTCAGGGAATAGCGACTCAGGGACCTGTTTGAACAGCTGTCGTGGGTTGTTCTGCGTTAGAGAGCGTTCGAACTTTGCGTAGTCATCCTTATAGTAACTTGTCGAGTTATTGCAACTGATGAACGTGGTGCCCTGGTTGTAGAGGTAGTAGATCAGGGCACCCAGTGAAAACATGTCCACGGCCGTTGATATGGAGTTCTCCAATACAACTTCCGGAGCAGTGAAGTTCAGGTTGATGTTGATAAACCCAGGAATTCTGGGATCGTACTGTGGGATGAAGTACTCAGAGACATCAGTCGGCTGGACAAAGCCCAGCCCAGCCAGTTTCCAATCAGAGTTGTCGTTGATGAACACAGAATTCGGGGAAAGACCCAGGTGAACAACCTTGGCCTGGGAATGGACGAACTCCAGTGCATTGCTCAGCTGTAGCAGGCCCTTCTGAATGCTAACGTCGTCCAGCTCTGGCACTTGGTTGAGACAGCCTTGCAAAGGCTCAGTGACAAACATCAAGTTTGCCTTGTGCTCCTCCAAGGGCTCGATGATCGTCAGCACATTCGGATGCCTATACTTGGCCAGATTGGACACCTGGTTCCTCAACACCTCGTAAGCATCGTTGATCACCTGCTTGTCACCTCTCTTCACAATGTTGTTCTTCACCAGCTGCGACTCGAACTTCTTCTTGTCAAAGATGAACACCGCACACTGCTTGTCCGAGGACTTGTTGCGCGCAGCGTACACGTCCCAAGGATCACAGTGGAAGCTGGGGTACTGGGACAACGAATA